GTAGGGAAAACCGTTGGTGGGTTTGTCGACATGTCATGTCTTGTTGCAGAAGAAGAAGAGCTCAGGACAAGAAACTGAAACAAGAAGGAGGAGGAGATGATGTTGAAGTAAGGTAGCTCCTTCTGCATCATAAGAGAGAGAGAGAGAGAGGAGAGAGATTAGTTTTCTCTTTCTGCGTTTGTGAGGAAGAGACTGATGGTGGACATTCGGTAACATTTGGTGCGTGGAAGATGAAGCCAAGAGACAGAATAAACAATTGAAAAGCCAAAATAAATGGAGAGAAGGTGAAGAGAAAGAAGGGGGAGAAAGGGGGAAGAGGCTGACTGTATGTACTTGAGGCGTTTGCTTTGCCACGAAGGTCTTTTTCTTTGGCCAATCTCTCTCATCTCTTTATCTTTTCTTCTGCAAAGACATCGTCTTTTTCGCATAAGAACATGAGAATATTTTTTAAAAGAAAGTTATCAGTCTCAAGCATATGCCGATCCACAAAACTTTGCAGAAAAAGGATTTGCAATTTCCATTTTCACTTATCCAAAAAACTATTTCACTGTTATGGCGGCCGCTTTCTTGCAGGTTAAGCCTTCAGCACTATTACTGCCTTACCCGGACAGATGAACGGGTACCCTTAGAGAACCCAACAAAGACTCAGGTACCTGTTGATGGGGAAGGTCACGATGGGGTGAAGGCAAGGGATTGCGAAATTGCCCTCGTTTGCCTCTCGAGTGTCGAGGATTCACAAAACCCTAATTTTTTGTTTATGATTACAAAAAAAATCACTCATACCCAAAAATCTCGAGTCTCAAAACTTCGAAAAGAAAACCCTAGGACTGCCTCTCGCGGCGTTTGTGGCCTCACGCCTCTCGACTGACGCGCTCTCTCTCCCATCTCCCCCTCGGCTCGGGTGCCGCCGGATACTGTAATAAGCCGACAAAATCCGTACTCGAATCCGATGACGGCGTCATGACGGCTCGAGTTTACAATTTTCGGATACTCATGGATCGGACAGGTTCGGGTACCACGGCCAACATGTTTCCGGACAGAAACTTCGTCCGCAGATTGAGATGATCATCGTATTGTTCGGTACAGGTTTTATTCAAAATCAGTAAAAACAAAGGTTTAAGAATTCTACAAATCAAGCATTTTTTAATGGGGTTTTCAAGCTAATTAATTTGCCTATTTACGCACCTTATCGTTAGTGCGTGTGTAAACACGTTTTGGATATCTGCATTGTTCTGCTTTTTCAGGAAAAAAAAAAAGCTTTGTTTTTTTTATAAAGTTGTTAATGCGACTTTTTTTTTTAATTAGGATAATAAGAAAATCAAGCAAGTTGGGGGCAACATCACATGTGAAATGGTGGTTTCTTATACTCTCTCTTTTGTTTTTTTTTAAAGATAATATGAAATTTTACTCGACTTCAAATTAAAATGAATTGCCGACTTTATTTATAAAAAAAAATTCTAATGGAACCTGCGTTAATCAGTTAACGAGGCATGCCGCCAATACCACCACGTAAAAAAAATAAATAAAAAACAAAATTTGAAAAACACATATTATACACAATCACCTACAGATTGCATTTATATGTATATATATATGTATATTTTTGTAAACTTATGTTTTTATTTTATTTTATTGTTCGATTTCTATCCGTTGATTAATATCACTAACGATCCCATCGGAATTTGCTAAGAAAATCGGAAATTTATGTTTAGTCTGGAAGCGAATGAGAACTTGTATTATTTTCTAGATTTTCAAAATTCAATATTTTATTGGAGATTTTCCCCAAATTAAAAATTCTTTTTATTTATTTATCAATTTTTAAAAATTCATGTTTTTTTTCCCATACCCCATTTATCTTCCTTCATCACAATAATACTTTTGTGTCTATTCCATTTAATTAAAACAACTATTAATGCAGGTAATAAAGACATCATCCATTCACAAGATGGGTTGCATATTGGAAACCGAGGTGTCTTGGATTGCATCGGCTCCATAGAACTTTGATTCATCCATTAACAAAATCAAACATTACAATTAAGAAACCTTACTTGATCTTTCAGTTCTTGAAAACAACAAATAGAATGGCATGGATCGTCGTCGATATAATCATATATACGGGTTCACGACCCTGCAGTTCTTCCTGACCTCGCCCTCGAACCCTGTCAACACTTCAATGGAACCCATCTTAACCATAGCTCTCGCAAACCTCCTCGCCCAAACCCGGCCGTTTTCCGCGTTGAATCTCACCATTCTCGCGGTTTCAGAGCTGTTCATAAGGCTCTGATCCGACGTCAAGACGACGTTACGATTCATCAGATTCAGATAGTACTCGTTATCCAATCTATTCGGCGTTTTGACGTCCAGGTCCACCGTTGAATCCATATCAGACCGGCATTTCGATCTCAGAACCTTGGCTAGACCAGGATTCAGAGAAGGGTCTTGCTCGTGGGTCGAGTTGAACGAAAACAACCTACCGGAGAACGAAGAACAGCGAGAAACCCCGATGCTGTGTGCGCCGCTTAGGGTTACCATCTCGTCGAGCGTCAATCCTTTTTTGGCGAAGCTCTCTTCGAGTTGCTTGGCGTCCAAGGAAGGTGAAGGCAAGTGAAGAGAGGGTTCGTCCTTGAGCGAGACTCTCCCGTCGCGGCGTCCAGAGGGAACGCGATAGTGCGAACCGCCGGTCTCGCAAACGCTGTCGCGGGCCGCAAACGTTAGGATGTCGGCGCATGAGACCGTTTGAGAGCATCGCGATTCGAGTCTGCGTTTGGCGTCGTCGATGACTTCGAAGCCTCGAAGGCTTGGAGTGTTTGCGGCGTTTTCTTTCTCCGATGCGTTTTCAGGAGTCGTATCGAGTAGGATTGATGCATCACATCCCTGCGTTAATAAAATCAATTTTAATAAAAAAAATCCACAATATATATATCAAATCATATATTTTAATTTGTCTTATACATATATAAGTACATAAAAAAAAAATACGTACACGGACAAAGCAGTCATGGAAATGCATACGAATGAGAGCAGCAGCAACACCAGGATCCCTTGACATTGCTCTTTTCACAGCTTTTCTTACAATAGCCTCAGCGTTTGGACATCTCGTTCTGTAATACCCAACTCTTAATGAAGCCGACGCAATCGCTGTTACACCGCAAACGCCAATCGCCAACACCATTAACCATACACTTCTAACAATAACTCCCCTCATTATTAATTTCTTTTGTGGGTTTGGTCTTAAGGATTGAGGACAGGAGGAAAGGGAAATTAGTGCAGAGGGATAAAAGGGTTGATTTTGATGCTATTCAAGAGTCTGTCTATGTGCATATATATACATACATATATATATATATATATTTATATATATGAAGTTGGAAAGTTTCATGACTAAAAGTGTTAGTATGGGTTTTTACTCTTGCAGAAGAAAGCGTGTGTATAGGCTGTAATACAATAGCATTGCATTGAGTTAATTTATTGCCCAAATAATTGAATCTTTCTTCTTATTATTATTTTTTTATTTTTTATAAATTTTTGAGTTCCTATAATTACCAAATGATTAAAGTTTCTACGGTCACCAATAAGGCATGAATTTTATGATCATTATTTAAGGACAGGTTCCCCATATATACGTCTACCAATCTATCTAACTATATTTCTACTTTAGTATATATTTTGAATGAAATTTGAATTCTGATTGTTACAATTATGTATTATATACTTATCAGTTTAAATAAATTGTTTGCATGGACAAATCCATGCAATAGTTCAGTTCTCTTCTATATAATATATATATATATATATATATATATATATGAATAAATTTCTTGCTTTAGGTAAGCTGCCGATCTTGATTTATTTCAGTTTACTCTGTTTCGTGTTGACCTCATCCCAAAATCCAACTTGCAAATTTAAAATAAGGAAGAGCAAAAGGAAAAAAAATCATTAACATATAATTAACAGAAAGAGCTCATAATTTTTTTTTTTTTTTTTTTTGTAAAACTCGTGCAAATATATTATACAAGATTATATAATGTACAAAACGTGAAAAATCGCATTAACATATTCAAAACCCGATATAAAAGATAAATCGCAAATATTCAACCTAATTTAAACAACGATAATGGTGCAAGTGACGAAGAGTTTATAAACTTGCTCATTAATTTTCATATGTTGGCTTTAACAATGATTACGATTCAAAAAATATAGTAAACGAAAAGTTGGAAGGCGGATATGTAGGTCTAACCGCTATATTTTCGTTTTAACCGGGTTTCTATTTCTTATACAAAACCTAATCAATTTGAATAGAACAATATACAATTGAATCTTAATTGAATTTGATTTAAAAAAATCAAATAGGTATATTTTTTATAACCCAAAAAAATCATATATCCAAATTCGAACCAAATATAAAAACTATATTAATGTTAAATATCTAGTTAACAAAAAAAAAAAGGAAAAAGAACAAGAAAATATTAACAATTATTTCTCACGTTCGTTTAGCAAGTTACAAAATGCATGAGTAAACTCCGTGTTCATCTTCATGCACGGAACCCTAATGGAACAAATACAAAAGGTGTGAACATTTTTACGTTGCATGCATGAACACGGTTCTTTCTTGATGTTTATCCATTTTACGTCGTTATAGATTTTTTATTTTTGAACGCATTTATTGTCCGCCCCCGTTTGTAGGTCCAAGGAAATATGTACGTACACAATACATAATCTTGATGACAATTATCTCAATAGATACATAAAAATTTGGCTGCCATTCACAAGACATTAAAAACAGCACACTCCTCTCATTCTTCTAACTGATGAAAATACTTTTTTAACGTTTATCATTAAAAAGAAAAAAAAACAAGGGATTAACAACGCAAATGACATAAATTGCAAGAAAAATTGTTGTATCACTAGTGATACATTAAGAACGTAAAACCGTTGCATATGCCAATGCAGTGACAGTACAAACAATCATCGCCTGGATAAATGACAACGACAACAGAATTTCGTCGTCGAAAGTCGAAATCCGTAACGAAATCCGAATCTGAACCCGAAGGTTGGATTCTGGCCGCCTGAAGCGCACATACTCGTCTCGTCGGTGGACGAAAATCCGAAGTTTTGGACAGCCGGCTCAGGGGTCAAACGGATACCCGAAATTTCGGATTCCCAGGCCTCCCGTAACTACACCGACCAAACCGGCGCCAGCCCGGAACTCGAGCTTTCAGTTCTCGTTCATGAAAAGCCTTCCCATGCACGTTTGAGTTGTTTCTCTTCTGAAAGGAGAGATTTTGGCAAAACCCTTTGCGCCGGAATGCATATGGAAGTGTACAGACAAGACACTGCTTGAAAAGTTTCCGGGATCGGTAACAGAAGAAGATCCTAGCAAACTTAGATCAGATATGTATACACAGATGTGAAAAGCAAACAGGGCAATGTGCTCAAAAGTTCATTTTCCATACTATAGAATGCACATTCCCCGGGATTAGCCGTTGTCCTGAAAGATTGCAGATTTCCCGGTACATTTACGCCACTAGGAACGTATTCGTACCAGATTGAAACTAGCAATACACTGCAGTGAACGTATTCTCGGGGTAGGAAGAGTTAGAAAAGATCACATAACAGCAAAGATGCTCATTAGTGACACAACAGGAATCGTAATCAGTGGTTCATTGCAGGTAAAGGGCATCAGAGCAATTTGGCAAAACGTTAGTTTCTTTTATCGTCAAAGATTTCTGATCTTTAGAATTCACAGTGAACTCATGAACAGAACAGAGCAAACACTTTGCAGAGAAACAGAATCAAATACTGGAGAAACGAAAACATATTTGCATTCACTGATAAAGGATTCTGATGAGACACAAATGATCCAAGAAACAAATATCACGAACACAGATTAAAAGTTACGAGTTCTGGGCTAAAATTGAATAAGATTACTTGCACAAAGAAGCGAGTACCTCGAGCAGAGAAGCCGAGAATCTCATCTGGATCTCCTCAGTTAGCGAAACAAAAAGAGATTTCATCTTGTTTTGCACAGCGAATCTCAGGGAATGTTCATACACATAGTTGCAGAAAGAGAAGTCTGCAAAAACAAATGAATGGACAAAGAAGATAAGTTCAGCATACCCTTCTTACAGTTGAGATTGGACCATCTTCCGGAATGATTGGCAACTTCTGAAGAACACTTCCGAGAACCGAACAATACATCAAACAAGAACAACACCAAAGGATGAAAAATAACAATAAACCTGAGGTTTCCATACCCTTTCATCGGCGCAACGAAGTGTAGCTTCGTTCACAGCTTGTTTTTCAATCCCAAATACAAATATATATATATAAGAAATCAAATATAAATAAGCATAAAATTATAATCCATCAATTCAGATACAAGTATTATATTAAATTCTACTTGTATTTGTAGAGCAAAAACATCATTGGCTCACCAGCTTTTTCGCCTCGGCTCTGTCCGGTCCAGATCGTCATGAGTTCGCTGATTACGAACTTGGTTCGCTCGGGTTCGTTTTTAAACGAGCTCAAAAAACGAGTTGGTTCCGAGCCACTGAACATTGTAGAGACCGAGTAAAGCCGTAACCACAGCTACAGGCGAACTGTGGTTTTATCAGCAAAGCAGTGAGCTTTTCCATCTCAAATTGGCAAATCAGTTGCAAACAAGAACCAAGCGAAAGAAAAGAGCGAGCTTTCTTGCTCGGATCAGAACCATCCATGAGAATTTTGACGGGTAGCCAGCCAAGTTCTTTCTTCATCTCGTCTCTGCATCACAATCCATAGACTTTTATTACCAATAACCTCCGCAGGAACACCGGCCGTCCTTGAACAGATGAAACCTGTTTGCATCTCTTAGAATGATCTCCCTTCCCGTCACCTTCGAGATTAACCCGAGGGCCGTGTGGCAATCCCCGCAAACCCTAAGGTTCTTCATGACCCGAACGGGAACTCCTTCAGGCAACTTCGATAGGCCATAAGCCACCGCCAGCCTCTCGCTGTGGTATCTCAGGCTATTCGCCTTCTCTTCCTCGTCTATGTCGTGCAATGCATAGCTGATATCGGGGTTGTACCCTGCTTCTCTCAGTAACACATCTAACTTCTCCAACATTTTCGAGATCAAACCGTGTTCAGGATGTCTTGTAATGTCTCCACCAGAGAACATGTGCACTTTCTTCTCCACTTCAATCCAGCTGCAGCCGGGCGATTTGCTTATGTTCCTTTCCCTCATGGTTTTCCTCAGTTCCGCAACTTCAGCCCACTTGCCTCGTGATGCATATATGTTGGAGAGTAAGATGTAAGTGCCGGAATTTTCGGGTTCAATCTCGATGAGTTTGGTTGCAGCAACTTCGGCTAAATCCAGCCGAGAGTGAGTTCTACATGCTCCTAACAGGGAACCCCAAGCAGCAGCATCTGGTTCCATGGTCATACTCTCGATCAGCCGCATTGCCTCGTCTACCCGTCCTGCACGTCCAAGCATATCCACAACACAAGAATAATGTTCAGATATCGGTTTTACCCGATACTTTGATTCCATTGACTCGAAGATCTTAAGCCCTTCCTCGACTTTTCCTGTGTAGCTACATGCTGAGAGAATTGCAACAAAGGTCACTTCATTTGGCATAATGCCGAACAACGACATCTCATGGAAAACATTCAGAGCTTCCTCTCCGAGACCGTGCTGGGAATAAGCGGAAATGATTGAATTCCACATGACGATGTCCTTTGTAGCAAACCTGTCGAATACTAGTTTTGCTTTCGCAAGCTCACCACATTTGACGTACATGGTCATCAAAACAGAGGCAACATACACATCAACATCGAATTGAGATCTCACCAGTCGAGCATGAACCTGTCTGCCATGGCTGAGACTTGTTAAGCTTCCGCAGAGGGAAAGGATGCTGATCAGTGATGGAAACGTCGGCCTAATCCCCCGTCTCTGCATGAGGGTAAACAACTTGAACGCCTCTAATTCAAACCCTTTTCTCTCATGAAGTTTGATCATTTCATTCCATGTAGCATCATCCCTCTCCATCATCTGATCAAAAACCCTCCTTGCTTTTGCGATCTCTCCCCATTTCCCAAACCCGACAATCATAGCATTACATGCAATAACCGGCTTCACGGGCATCGCCTCGAAAAGATCTTCGGCCTCCTCCATTCTTCCGCTCCTGGTATAGCCTAAAAGCATGTTCGTCCATGTGATTTCGGTTTTCTCGGGCATCACTTCAAACAGCTTCCTAGCAACATTCACACGATTGCTCTGTCCATACCCTTGAATCATTGTGGTCCAAGTAATCACATTTTTATGCAGCATCTTGTCGAAAATCTCTCTCGCCTCGTCCACTCTCCCTGCATTGCACAATCCACCGATCATATTAGTCATTGCAACTGTGTCTTTCATCGGCATTGCATCATACAACTTGCGTGCATCGTCGATCCGTCCATCTTGAATCAATCCACCAAGCATCACAGTCCAAGAAACCTCGTTCTTCTCGGGCATTCTCCAAAACAGCGATTCCGCCTCAGCGACCATGCCCTCTTGAACATACCCTTTGACCATCGCGGTCCAGGAACGAACGTCCTTCGCAGGCATTGCATCGAACACTTCCCAAGCTTTATTAATCATCCCGTTCTTAACATACCCAGAAACCAACCCATTCCACGAGATGATGTTTCTCTGAGGCATTTGATCGAACAGAAGCTGGGCTTCTCTCGGCATGCGGTTTTCAAAGTACCCAGAAACCATGGAGTTCCAGGAAGAAATTGTCTTGCAGGGCAATGAATCGAACACTTCTCGAGCATCGTTTATTCGGTTGATGCGACAAAGATGAGAGATTTGAGCATTACCATTGTTACCGACAAGCGAACAATATGTTCTACGTAGGAGCAGTCGTGGCTTCATTCACGAATCGGACACTACAGAATCTTCACCAGAAATTTTCAAGTTGCTCGCTTCTGTAAACAACTACACCTCTCTCTCTCTCTCTATCTATATATACTATATATAATATATGGAAAGAACACTTTGCTGCGAAACAAACGAAAAGAATTTCCTACAAAATTCACACAGCCCTTTCTCTCTCATGATTCATTATAATTAGATCTGCGAACGTGACGAGCAAAAGGTTCAGACTTTGGACATAAAACAGACACCAACAACGGGACATGTTCTTAAGCATCTCAGCCACGGCAGAAGAAATCGAACCGAGTTCTTGGCGTAGAGTACTGCATCGACAGCACTTTCATGGCCACCATTGCATTGGCCGTCTCGGTGTAATGGATTCCGTCCCAATTTAGGAACCGAGACCCTTCATCGCATGCCTTCGCGCCCTCGTGCCCGCACGTTATGTTCACATTGTAGTTGTAAGGTGGTCCTCCAAATCCACAGCACGCCATTAACGGCTTCTCGAAACCTGCATTGAGATCAATCGGATTCAGATCGAACAATGAAACACGGGGTTGATCCATTTGAAATCACTGGAAGAAACAAGATCACTATGATTGAACAAAAATGACATCAAACGCAAAGAACTGCTTCTATTGAGCTTACCGTATTTGGTGGCATTGGCGATGAGGTCGTACTTGATAGCATATACGTCGACATAAACAACGGTTGCATCTCTTAGTTCGGTCCTCAAATCACGACACATATGATCCAATCCTTCATTGAACAGTTTGGCAGCCGAGTTGTAGCTTGCCAGACAGCCATGCTCATCAAGATCTTTCTTCTGAACCATTTCGAGCTTCTGAGGCAGACAACCTAACGGTCCAGTATTGTGAATCCAGAATTTCCTCCCTCCCTGATTGTACAAAGTCTGCAATATGTGTTTTTTTCCCTAAAAGTATCAAACTTTATCCAAAAGCAAAGATGGTATAGGCAAAAAGTGGCAAAGGAGGAGGCTAAGAATCTCCATAAGTGTTGCCTAAAGTTCCAAAATGTGATAATAATAAAAATCCTTGCGAAAAGTGAATAGATTTCTACCGTAAATTCACATGAACATACGTGGTTCATCATTCATTATTATGCAACCCATCAAAATAATATCAAAGCTCTAACCTTTACGGCATCTTTGATCTCAGAAATGACATTCGGAATCTCTTTCACCACTCGGGAAAACGAGTGGCCCTTCGAGAAAGAATCAGCGATATCGTTCTGACCGATATCGATCATGTACAACGCGCTTCTGAATCCATCTTCGCTTATCATCATCTCCCTCAGCGGATCTGCAGACACAATTCAGCAAACAACGAATCAAGACAATCGAAAAAAGAAACAACGGAACAGAACAGAAGGAGAGAGACAGAGGAGAAGGTTTTGGATGAGTAACCAGAACTAGAAGCTAGCTCGAGGGCTCGGGACTTGAAATGGAGGAACTGCATCAGCTGGATATTCAGAGCAAAGGGGACGAATCTTGGGAGAGTAGAGGAGCCAACAATGGCGAAGTTTGCACCATTTTGGAACCTGGATCCAGCTAGTGAGTCTAAGTATGGGTTCAATAGACTTGTATTCAAACTCTGGCCTGCACATCATGTTTCATTCATTACTTAAGTCATTAACACATCCATGTACTGATTACAAATCCACTGAGATTAATTTATCTACTAATATATTTTTTTTTGATAAAATATCTACTAATATTCATATATACAGTTTAGAACTCTTATAAAAGTTTAATAATTCCTATGATTTTAACTTCAAGGGTCAGGTTCCAATTTTTTTATCAACCAAGATTACTCATATGTTGGATTTGGATTTATGAAACTAACATATTCATAACACCCCTTTAAATTTTATAGAATTTTTACAAAATTATATTTAATTTTAAAAATCTAAAATGGAGTTATTTTTAATAGTTTTTTAAATTACAAAATTAACCTTATTTTTTGAAAATTAGGTTAAGGTACCGGGTACGTGGTGAAATACGAATCCGAATACTCTAAAATTGTTGGGTAATTGGGATGAGATTAATTTTGGATTTGATTTAGACAGATCAAACCGGAATTTAATTTGAATGTTTTTCTCGTTTTTTTATATTTTCTTTGTTTTTCTCATTTGGTTTGCAGTTTTTCATATTATTCAATTTAAAAAAAAAATATGACATTCTAGGTTTATTTCTAGTTTCCATCATTTTTTTTATTCGCATCTCTAAGTGATCAAGGGACCTAACAAACCTAACCGACCACAACTCAACTTGGGTTTGACAATGTAGAACCGAACCGTTTAAAGTAAACCGGAATCTAAACTAATTCGGATCGGGTCTGGTCGGTAAAACCCCACCCAAATTGACGATTTAATGGAACGCGGTTGAGACACACGCGCCGGATCTACAGAGCCCACGTGGGCCCACTTTCTTTGAATAGATCCACCGATCGATGCCTGTTTCCGACATCCGACATCCCACACGCGCGAACACCGACATCACTCGTAAGAGTGCATCTCAGCCGTTGATTACGCTTATTGTTCCATCGGATTTGATGAAATCAACGGTGGATCTGACACTATCGCCAATGACCTTAATCCCCATAATTTTTTATTTAAAAAAAAAAAAGAAAAAAGTTTGACTCACAGAGGAAATCTAGGACGAGACGTCCGTCGGATAACCGGCCGGTGGATTGCCGAAAAAAGGAGCGCCCGTTGGGAAGATTGACGGAGAATCCGAGTCCGGCGACGAGACCTCCGGTGTCGGAGTTTGAATCTCCGAAGTTGAATATCACCGGTGGGATCTGGCACCGTGATTCCGCCGTCGCCGCCGCAGATGGATGCCGGAGATTCAAGATAGAAGGCGAAAGAGCGAAGAAGAGAAAATAGAACGCATAGAAGCGGAGAGAGAGAGTGGCCATAGAAGAAGAATACAGAGTGAGAGTGACAGACTGGGCTCTGTTTTCTCTCTCTATATATATATACATAGTCTTAACATGACAAGATATATGCACGTGTAGACGTGGTGACTGACCCTAAGACATGAACTTGATCACTCAATCAAACATGTACCGAAGGATTGGCGAGGTGGCTAGGTACCATCTCAACTAGCCGCTTCCCATTCTACCCATGAATAAAGATCTAAATCTACAAGATTGATTCAAGATAGAAGATTGCATTCCATGTATATATATATATATATTGTAGCCGTTTGTATTTTATATTCTTGGCTTATTTCTTTGATTCTATTCTATGTATATATGCTATGTACATTGATCATTGATCAGAAGAATAACACCAATTGGAGAATTATTCTCCACCATTTTCAAACCTTTTCACATTATACTTCTTCTACCCTCGAACCTATTTGTTATTCTACCTAAAACACTTTTTGTTATACTCAAATCTATCACAAACACTAGAAAGACAGACACATTAAAATCCAAAGTACGAAACCCGTCCGAAAAATTAAGAGTTAGAATGTTAACGTTATGTTGCGATTGCATTGCCATCGGTCGCCCTAAAATCAATTAATCAAATCAAAGATATAGCATAACCGATCGGATCGGTTTGGTTTGGATAAATAACTGATTAATTTCGGTTAACCGAATAAACCGAGACTAAAATTAAAAAATTAGCATCAATACAGGAATTGGGTTAAACCAGATGATGAGACTGTTGAACTGACTCGGTCTCCTTAATTTATAGATTGTTCCTAGCCATCGAGTTCTATATTAGGTGTTGAAAAATAAAATGATGACTAGCCAAAGGGACGCAAGGCTTGCTAACCTCAGTCACGATGCGTGGAGTTTGCGTGCACATATTCTAGACGTTTCTTTTCATTTGTTCCCATGTACGTACATAGTTTGTTGCCTATATATATTCTCTATGATGTTATGTATGTACATAATAAGAAAAGAAATACGTGTGAACTACCTTTTCGGTTTACAACAGAAGATCATAAACGATTTTTCTTGAGGAATATGAAGGTAACTAAACTTAATCCATAAGAATAAACGATTTTGAATATACATACATATATATATATATATCTATATGTGTGTATGTGTATTCTTTATCTTTTTATTATTTTTAATAAAATTATAATTATTTTTATTTTTAATATATATGTACCTGTATATATATATCCACACACACACTTTTCAATTCAATTTTGAAAAAAAAATAATTGAAAAAGAACCCAGAAAATAATTAGTTTCGATATTTCTATTTAATTAAAAAAAAGGTAACCTCTTTTTCTATTATTATATTTACTGTTTGAATCTTTGAAATTTTCGGTCTTCCCGCAAAACCCCAAGAAGAACCCCACCATCACTACGATTCTCTCTCTGCATCTCTGTAACCGTTTTCCTCTTCGTTCTCTTGAACTCGATTCCTTGTTCCTCGTATCCGATCGTTTCTACTTTCCGAATTGCCTTCCGTCTGGGCCGCTGCGATTCCATTCGCCTACTCAGTTTCTCCATTTCCCTTGGGTAAACGAATCTTGGACTCTGAATCTTTCTTTTATCGGATCTTTGTTCTTGTATTGGACTGAATTTTGGTTCTCTGATTGGTTTTGATGGTATCTTGCTTCTTGCATTGCGATCGTTTATTTTGGTGCACGTTAACGGCTGCTGGTTGGGTTTCTTTGTCGTTCTTGGATCATTTTTGTTGTTCTGCCCTCAATTAACCGTTTTCTCAGATTGCTGGTTGGATTTCTTTGTCGTTTAACAAAGCAATCACCATTGTTCCAGTACTGTTTTCGATTTTTAGCCAAACTTGTGTTTCTATTTTCCTCTGCCTTCAAGTTTCGCTGGGTTTATTTGAGTTCGATCGCTGTTCTTGGATCATTTTTGTTGTTCTGCCCTCAAGTTAACCGCTTTCTCAGATTGTTGGTTGGATTTCTTTGTCGTTCAACAAAGCAATCACCGTTGTTCTAGTACTGTTTTCGATTTTTAACCAAACTTATGTTGCTCTTTTCCTCTGCCTTCAAGTTTTACTGGGTTTGTTTGAGTTCGATTGCTGTTCTTGGATCATTTTTGTTGTCCTGCCCTCAAGTTAACCGTTTTCTCAGATTGCTGGTTGGATTTCTTTGTCGTTTAACAAATCAATCACCGTTGTTCCAGTATTGTTTTCGATTTTTAGCCAAACTTGTGTTGTTCTTTTTCTCTGCCTTCAAGTTTTGCTGGATTTGTTCGAGTTCGATCGCTATTCTTGGATCAATTTTGTTGTTTTGCCCTTAAGTTAACCGCTTTCTCAGATTGCTGGTTGGATTTCTTTGTCATTTAACAAAGCAATCACCGTTGTTCCAATACTGTTTTCGATTTTTAACCAAACTTGTGTAGAAATAAATTGTGAAATATGAGATTGGGTTATTTGAATAGTATTTGTTTCACTTATTTTTTTAAAATTAGGATGTATGTATATATGTATATATGTATGTATGTATGTATGTATGTATGTATGTATGTATGTATGATTTTTTTGTATATATATGTATATATAGGAGTGTATGTTTGTATGTATGTTTGTATGTATGTATATATATATGGTGTATATACATGTGTGGTATGTGTTGCCATGTATGTACATTAGTTTCGATAATTCTATTTAATTAAAGAAAAAGGTCACCTTTTTTTCTATTATTCAAAGAATTCTATATTTACTGTTCGAATCTTTGAAATTCTCAGTCTTTCCGCAAAACCCCAAGAAGAACCCCACCATCGTTATGATTCTCTCTCTGCATCTCTGTAACCGTTTTCCTCTTCGTTCTCTTGAACTCGATTCCTTGTTCCTCGTATCCGATCATTTCTACTTTCCGAATTACCTTCCGTCTGGGCCGCTGCGGTTCCATTCGTCTACTCAGTTTCTCCATTTCCCTTGGGTAAACGAATATTGGACTCTGAATCTTTCTTTTATCGGATCTTTATTCTTGTATTGGACTGAATTTTGGTTCTCTGATTGATTTTGATGGTATCTTGCTTCTTACATTGCGATCGTTTATTTTGGTGCACGTTAACGGTTGCTGGTTGGGTTTCTTTGTCGTTATTGGATCATTTTTGTTGTTCTGCCCTCAAGTTAACCGCTTTCTCAGATTGCTGGTTGGATTTCTTTGTCGTTTAACAAAGCAATCACCGTTGTTCCAGTACTGTTTTCGATTTTTAGCCAAACTTGTGTTTCTATTTTCCTCTGCCTTCAAGTTTCGCTGGGTTTATTTGAGTTCGATCGCTGTTCTTGGATCATTTTTGTTGTTTTGCCCTCAAGTTAACCGCTTTCTCAGATTGCTAGTTGGATTTTTTTGTCGTTCAACAAAGCAATCATCGTTGTTCCGTTACTGTTTTCGATTTTTAGCCAAACTTATATTGTTCTTTTCCTCTGTCTTCAAGTTTTGCTGGGTTTGTTTGAGTTCGATCGCTATTCTTGAATCTTTTTTGTTGTTCTACCCTCAAGTTAACCGCTTTCTAAGATTGTTGGTTGGATTTCTTTGTCGTTTAACAAAGCAATCACCGTTGTTCTAGTATTGTTTTCGATATTTAGCCAAACTTGTGTTGTCTTTTTCCTCTGCCTTCAAGTTTTGCTGGGTTTGTTTGAGTTCGATCGCTGTTCTCGGATCATTTTTGTTATTCTTTAACTGCTTTCTCAGATTGCTGGTTGGATTTCTTTGTCGTTCAACAAAGCAATCACCATTGTTCCAGTATTGTTTTCGATATTTAGCCAAACTTGTGTTGTTCTTTTCTTCTACCTTCAAGTTTTGCTGGGTTTGTTTGAGTTCGATCATTGTTCTTGGATCATTTTTGTTGTTTTGGCCTTAAGTTAACCGCTTTCTCATATTGCTGGTTGGATTTCTTTGTCGTTTAACAAAGCAATCACCGTTGTTCCAGTATTGTTTTCGATATTTAGCCAAACTTGTGTTGTCTTTTTCCTCTGCCTTCAAGTTTTGTTGGGTTTGTTTGAGCTCGATCGTTGTTCTTGGATCATTTTTGTTGTTCTGTCCTCAAGTTAACCGCTTTCTCAGATTGTTGGTTGGATTTCTTTGTCGTTCAACAATGCAATCACCGTTGTTCCAATATTGTTTTCGATATTTAGCCAAACTTGTGTTGTTCTTTTCCTCTGCCTTCAAGTTTTGCTGGGTTTGTTTGAGTTCGATCGTTGTTCTTGGATCATTTTTGTTGTTTTTCTCTCAAGTTAACCGCTTTCTCAGATTGCTGGTTGGATTTCTTTGTCGTTTAACAAAGTAATCATCGTTGTTCCAGTACTGTTTTGGATTTTTAGCCAAACTTCTGTTGTTTAATTCTTCTGCCTTCAAGTTTTGCTGGGTTTGTTTGAGTTCGATCGTTGTTCTTGGATCATTTTTGTTGTTCTACCCTCAAGTTAACCGCTTTCTCAGATTGCTGGTTGGATTTTTTTGTCGTTTAACAAAGCAATCACCGTTGTTCCAGTATTCTTTTCGATTTTTAGCCAAACTTGTGTTGTTATTTTCCTCTACCTTCAAGTTTTGCTGGGTTTGTTTGAGTTCGATCGCTGTTCTTGGATCATTTTTGTTGTTTTGGCCTTAAGTTAACCGTTTTCTCAAATTGATGGTTAGATTTCTTTGTCGTTAAACAAAGCAATCACCGTTGTTCCAGTACTGGTTTCGATTTTTAGCCAAACTTGTGTAGAAATAAATTGTGAAATATGAGATTGGGTTATTTGAATAGTATTTGTTTCACTTATTTTTTTAAAATTTTGATGTATGTATGTATATATGTATGTATGTATGTATGATTTTTTTGTATATATGTAAGTATAGGAATGTATGTTTGTATGTATGTATATATATATGGTGTATATACATGTGTGGTATGTGGTTCCATGTACGTACATTAGTTTCGATAATTCTATTTAATTAAAAAAAAAAGGTCACCATTTTTTCTATTATTCAAAGAATTCTATATTTACTGTTCGAATCTTTGAAATTCCCAGTCTTCCCGCAAAACCCTAAGAAGAACCCCACCATCGTTATGATTCTCTCTCTGTATCTCTGTAACCGTTTTCCTCTTCGTTCTCTTGAACTCGATTCTTTGTTCCTCGTATCCGATCGTTTCTACTTTCCAAAATCTCTTCCGTCTGGGTCGCTGCGATTCCATTCGCCAACTCAATTTCTCCATTTCCCATGGGTAAACGAATCTTAGACTCTAAATCTTTCTTTTATCGGATCTTTGTTCTTGTATTGGGCTGAATTTTGGTTCTCTGATTGGTTTTGATGGTATCTTGCTTCTTGCATTGTGGTCGTTTATTTTGGTGCACGTTAACAGCTGCTGGTTGGGTTTTTTTGTCGTTCTTGGATCATTTTTATTGTTCTGTCCTCAAGTTAACCGCTTTCTCAGATTACTGGTTGGATTTCTTTGTCATTTAACAAAGCAATCACGATTGTTCCAGTATTATTTTCGATATTTAGACAAACTTGTGTTGTCTTTTTCCTCTGCCTTCAAGTTTTGCTGGGTTTGTTTGAGTTTGATCGCTGTTCTTGGATCATTTTTGTTCTTTTGGCCTCAAGTTAACCGCTTTCTCAGATTGCTGGTTGGATTTTTTTGTCGTTTAACAAAGCAATCACTATTGTTCCACTATTGTTTTCGATATTTAGCCAAACTTGTATTGTCTTCCTCTACCTTCAAGTTTTGCTGGGTTTGTTTGAGTTCGATCGTTGTTCTTGGATCATTTTTATTGTTCTGTCCTCAAGTTAACCGAATTCTCAGATTGCTGGTTGGATTTCTTTGTCGTTCAACAATGCAATCACCGTTGTTTCAGTATTGTTTTCGATATTTAGCCAAACTTGTGTTGTTCTTTTCCTCTGCCTTTAAGTTTTGTTGGGTTTGTTTGAATTCGATCGCTGTTCTTGGATCATTTTTGTTGTTTTGCGCTCAAGTTAACCGCTTTTCTCATATTGCTGGTTGGATTTCTTTGTCGTTCAACAAAGCAATCACCGTTGTTCCAGTACTGTTTTCGATTTTTAGCCAAACTTATATTGTTCTGTTCCTCTGCCTTCAAGTTTTGGTGGGTTTGTTTGAGTTCGATCGCTGTTCTTGGATCATTTTTGTTGTTCTGACCTCAAGTTAATCGTTTTCTCAGATTGCTGGTTGGATTTTTTTGTCGTTTAACAAAACAATCACCGTTGTTCCAGTACTGTTTTCAATTTTTAGCCAAACTTGTGTTGTTTTTTTCCTCTGCCTTCCAGTTTTACTGGGTTTGTTTGAGTTCGATCGCTGTTCTTGGATCATTTTTGTTGTTCTGCCCTCAAGTTAACCGTTTTCTCAAATTGATGGTTGGATTTCTTTGTCGTTAAACAAAGCAATCACCGTTGTTCCAGTACTGGTTTCGATTTTTTGCCAAACTTGTGTAGAAATAAATTGTGAAATATGAGATTTGGTTATTTGAATAGTATTTGTTTCACTTAATTTTTTAAATTTTGGATGTATGTATGTATGTATATATATGTATGTATGTATGTATGTATTATTTTTTTGTATATATGTATGTATAGGAGTGTATGTTTTTATATATGTATATATATATGGTGTATATACATGTATGGTATGTGTTGCCATGTACGTACATTAGTTTCATTCTATTTAATTAAAAGAAAAAGGTCACCTCTTTTTTTATTATTCAAAGGATTCTATATTTACTGTTTGAATCTTTGAAATTCTCAGTCTTCCCGCAAAATCTCAAGAAGAACCCCACCACCATCGCTACGATTCTCTCTCTGCATCTCTGTAACTGTTCTCCTCTTCGTTCTCTTGAACTCGATTCCTTGTTCCTCGTTTCCGATCGTTTATGCTTTCCGAATTGCCTTCCGTCTGGGCTGCTGCGATTCCATTCGCCTACTCAGTTTCTCTATTTCCCTTGGGTAAATAAATCTTGGACTCTGAATCTTTCTTTTATCGTATCTTTGTTCTTGTATTAGGCTGAATTTTGGTTCTCTGATTGGTTTTGATGGTATCTTGCTTCTTGCATTGCGATTGTTTATTTTGGTGCACGTTAACGGCTGCTGATTGGGTTTCTTTGTCGTTCTTGGATCATTTTTGTTGTTCTACCCTCAAGTTAACCGCTTTCTCAGATTGCTTATTGGATTTCTTTGTCGTTTAACAAAGCAATCACCGTTGTTCCAATACTGTTTTCGATTTTTAGCCAAACTTGTGTTTCTGTTTTGCTCTGCCAAGTTTTGCTGGGTTTATTTGAGTTCGATCGTTGTTCTTAGATCATTTTTCTTGTTATGCCCTCATGTTAACCGATTTCTCATATTGCTGGTTGTATTTCTTTGTCGTTCAACAAAGCAATCACCGTTGTTCCAGTACTGTTTTCGATTTTTAGCCAAACTTATGTTGTTCTTTTCCTCTGTCTTCAAGTTTTGCTGGGGTTGTTTGAGTTTTATCGCTGTTCTTGGATCATTTTTGTTGTTCTGCCCTCAAGTTAACCACTTCATCAGATTGCCGATTGGATTTCTTTGTCGTTTAACAAAGCAATCACCGTTGTTCCAATATTGTTTTCGATTTTTAGCCAAACTTGTGTTGTTCTTTTCCTTTGCCTTCAAGTTTTACTGGGTTTGTTTGAGTTCGATCACTGTTTTTGAATCATTTTTGTTGTTATGTCTTCAAGTTAACTGTTTTCTCAGATTGCGGGTTGGATTTATTGTCATTCAACAAAGCAATCATCGTTGTTCCAGTATTGTTTTCGATATTTAGCCAAACTTGTGTTGTTCTTTTCCTCTACTTTCAAGTTTTGCTGGGTTTGTTTGAGTTCGATCGCTGTTTGTGGATCATTTTTGTTGTTTTGTCCTCAAGTTAACCGCTTTCTCAGATTGCTGGTTGGATTTCTTTGTCGTTGAACAAAGCAATCACCACTGTTCCAGTACTGTTTTCGATTTTTAGCCAAACTTGTGTTGCTCTTTTCCTCTGCCTTCAAGTTTTATTGAGTTTGTTTGAGTTCGATCGCTGTTCTTAGATCATTTTTGTTGTTCTACCCTCAAGTTAACCGCTTTCTCAGATTGCTGGTTGGATTTCTTTATCGTTTAACAAAGCAATCATCGTTGTTCCAGTATTGTTTTAGATTTTTAGCCAAACTTGTGTTGTTCTTTTACACTGCCTTCAAGTTTTGCTGGGTTTATTTGAGTTTGATCGATGTTCTTGGATCATTTTTGTTGTGTTGCCCTCGAGTTAACTGCTTTTTCAGATTGTTGGTTGGATTTCTTTGTCATTTAACAAAGCAATCACCGTTGTTCCAGTACTGTTTTCGATTTTTAGCCAAACTTGTGTTGTTCTTTTTCTCTGCCTTCAAGTTTTGTTGGGTTTGTTTGAATTCGATCGCTTTTCTTGGATCATTTTTGTTGTTCTGCATTCAAGTTAACTGCTTTTTGAGACTGCTGGTTGGATTTTCGATTGTTGATTATTTTGCGGATTTTTATTTGTCGTTTGCTTACAGGATAATGGAGAATCTTCCTGTGGAATTGATCGGAAACATTTTGTCACATCTTGACAATGCCCGGGATGTTGTCATCGCTTCCACAACATCCAAGAGATGGCGCGAAGCTTATCATCATCATCTTCATCAGATCGCATTCGTACACAGGGTTCATCCATTTCCATGGTTCTACGATACCAGAGATATAGAGAGGGTTATCACTCACACTCTCACACAGACCACAGGAGTGCAAGAGCTGACCATTGAGTTTGAGGATGATGATGGATTTTATAGATTTCGTAATGATGTTGTCACTGAATGGCTCGGGCACACAAGGGAGACGTTGCGCAGATTATGCTTCAATGCCGGGACTACACGAGGTGTCAATGTTCTAGCATCATTGGGAGGCAAAACCTGGAAACGTTGCAGCTCACCTCTAGGGCTAGAGTCCGGATTGAACAGAACTTTCAGAGCTTTCCTCACCTTAAATCGCTCTCGCTGTGTCGTGTTCGTATTGCAGCTTTGCAATTAAACCTGTTGCTCAGTGCATGCCCACAGATCGAAAAGTTAGAGCTGGTCAATCATCATATGATTAGGTTGGGCTGGGATGTGCCTGTGATCTGCCCGGGAGTGAAGAACCTCCTCATGGAACGAATTAGGTCCAACTTTTTAGCCGAAAAGCAGGTTTTAGTCGTGGAGGCCGGCAACCTTGAGTGTTTGAGTGTGAATGATTGTGCTCTCCATCATTTCAAACTCACAGGAAATGGAACACCGAAGCATCTGAGGATCGACGACTCTTCCATCTGGCGTCTTGATATTGCAGGGGCTGCTGAAAAGCTTGAGAGTGTCGATTTCAGACGGAGCGCATTTGTCTACATGGGGTTTACGGAGGTGATCTCAACAGCGCCCCAACTGATGACTCTTTCGCTATGGGATGTGAAATTCGATACCCTTGGTGTGCTCCTTGAATATATAGCCATTAGTTTCCCGCAGCTGACCCGTCTTTCTCTACGTTATGACAACCGAGAAGAAAGTTTTGTTCGTCACGGCTTACAGGGTACCACCCAGTTGGATACTGTGGATGAGTTAGAGCTTGGGTGGATAGTGGTGAGGGAGGATTTCCCAATCTGGGTTGGTGGGGTGGTACAAAAATGTCCGAATCTGAAGAGGCTGATCGTTGTAATTCCTGAGGGATGTCTGATGCCGGAAAACATCACAGAAGCCGTTGTTGAACTCATGAGGCAACGTACCAATCGCAGTCTTCAAAGCCTCAGCCTTCATCTCCGCTATCAGTTTCTTATCTTCCGCAGACACATTTTCCATGGGCATCAAATCAGTCTTGTTGCAGACGATTACCAACGGTTTGTTCATAAACAAGGACTTTACACTGTGGAACAGTGCTGCCTGTTGAGCGATGCTGTAACCGCACGAACCCGAGATGTCCAGAAAGAACAAAACGGCAGCTCGGAGATGTGCTAAGGCTGTAATACTGCACATCTCAATGATGTTACGGTCTTCGAATGGTCTGTCCAGAATCCCGGGTGTATCGATGACTTGGTACCTCAGGTACTTGAAATAGGTATGGCCGACAAAGAGTGACTTTGTGGTGAAAGGGTATGGCTGGACATCCACATTAGCCCTGGTAACTCTGTTCAGGAATGAGCTCTTGCCCACGTTCGGGTATCCACAGACCAAGAGAGTCCGGGTGTTGGGGTCGATAGAGGGAAGCCTTGCCATGTGCTGTCTGACCTGTTCCAGATAAGCCAAACTGTGGCTGATGCTCCTTATAACCGTACACATACGGCCAAGAGCAGCCACCTTGAGGGACTTGTTCCGGTACAAAGAATCTCCATACTTGAGTAGCTTTCCATAATCCTTGCCAATCTTGGTAACTAGGTTTCTTGCAGTGTTGACTTGGCCGAGGGCGAGTTTGTAGTGTTCTTTGTTGTAGAGCACGTGAAGAAGGTCACCGTATAAAGGGTGGTCATGATCGATACGAGGGAATTCATCGATGATCGTGGACAGCTTCTCATGAAAATTTCGCTGCGTGAACTTAACTTTGCGAATGTAGAAGCCGCGGATAACACAAATCTTAGAACCCTTGTGGACAACAGTCGGTGTCTGCCGTTGGGTTCGGGAAAGAAGGATGTCGATAAATTCCTTTGCACTTGGCACTGGAGTTATGTTCTTCAAATTATTGCGTCGCGTCATTTTTGTCTTCTGCTGCAAGAACAAGACGAATAATTTACCGCTCTGCACTTCCACGATTTACAAAAATAACACCAACGTAGGATTAAATACCACCATGAGAGCCCGGATGGAGCTCGCTTGGAACACCAACAAAAAACAAGTCCATCTTTTTCATGAAATAGCGGGAATTAAAGGGACAGATCTCGAATTCTTACCACAGAACACCGACAACGACGGAGCCCGACGTATCCTTGTTAACGAAATTAGGGTTTTCCTTAAATTGTACAAGTTTTTTTCCTTCTTATATATTCAAACCTAAACTCTTTTAATCGGGTAGAAGATTTCCAAAAATACGCCATGAAATTAATACCTGAATTTTGACCAACATTTAAAAGTCTAGGTTTTAATATCAAGATCAAGAAGATTTTATGTATTTTTCTTAGAAAATCTTATGATTTGATTCTTTGAGATTTTTTACCAGATTTTTGCTTGGAGTGGTCAAAGCCCACACCGTAGAGCCCTGCCCATCACCTCACCCTACGGGTAATCATTCATTGGGTTCGGGTTAAATTATATAATATATCTAAAGACAATGTAACAAAAAAATAAAAATGGATATCATTATTTTAAGTTTAAATTTCAATTTAAATTAAAAAGAAAAAATTATAAAAATAAACATGAATACACGGATGTGATATGAAATGGAATAGAAATATACAGAAATATCCGTCTTTGCCTTAACATATCACCGCTGTTATGCACGTCATTGCATGCCTAAAGAAGACGAGTTGGGTGAAAATCTGACGTCAAAATAAAGTTTTGATAATCATTTAAAAGCTTTGCGTTGACTTTCAGACAATACATTATCTACACGATATGTGATCCTATTTTATAGATCTCGATGGTAATTTTTTTCCAGGTTTTTTTAGTTTTTAAAATTTTCATATTTTGTAATTTTTGATCATGTTTGTTTGTTTCATGATATGTATTGATAGTTCAATTTTATAGCTCTTTCAACATTAGCAATTTGTTATCTAAAGGTTTCCTTTAGAATTCTATAGAAATTTGATTCACCATAATCTTTAAACAGACTGTTTTTAATGTTTATTTTGTATTTCAAAATTCATATATAATTGTTGTATTACTTAACATAACACTATAACACTATAACACATGAATCTCATAGATTAGTTAGAAATAAAAATAACATCATATATATGTTGTTGTTTCTCTCTTGAATGTTATGGTGTCAAATTAGTAGTACATGGGTATCTTTCTTTATACGGTATCCGGTCTTAAAACGGTATATGGTCTTAACCGATTTTGTATACAAACTCTTTATTTATTAATATATTTGTACCTTTTATAAAAAAACATCATATATATATATATATATATATATATATTTCATAATATACATAAAGAATTACATTTCATAAGTATTAACATCAAGAAACATTATTTCTAAGATGTCATGACTTGGTAAAGAAAACGTTCTACAATACTGATCTATATCTATTTTTTTTATAAATGTCCACAAATCGCAATCCACTTAATTATTTAGTTTGTTTATCATATTTCTATAAAATAATTTATAAAATTTTAAAAAAAAATTGTATATATGTAAACCTATTTATATTTTAAAAAAAGAGAACTATTTATAAGTTTTAATAAAATTTCAAAGAAAAAAAAACTCCCATTAAAGTTTTGGTATATGAGGATAAACAACCATCATCAATTCAATCTTAATCAAATACAAAAAATTAAAGGTATCAATATTAAATATATATATATATATATATATATATGTATATTATGAAGATCAATATCATCTTACATAGTTCGCAATGTAGTATAGTCAAATTGTTGTTATTTTGTTTATTTTTACTATGTATTTATCATAATAATACATTTGTTCTTTATATATATATAATTTTGTATTTGATTTTATAGAAAAATTAATAGATAAATTTTTCAAAATAAATTCTGCATTGATGTCTTAAAATAGTTATAAGATCTCAACCGTCTCAAGTCTCATATTAATCATTCAATATACAAATAATTGATTTGGATGATATAATTAATAAAATATTTTAGATGATTACAAATTAAGTTGCTATTGATAGATTTCAAAAAATAAAAAATCATAAATTCCATTATTTTTGTGACAGTATATTTTTAATAGTTTTTTATATTATATATATATAATTTTTAAAACATGATGACATTTTTTATAAGTTATCTGATGTTAAAGAATATTTTTTTTTATCTTATTACTAAATTGAATACAATCCGAATAAATTATTGACATCAAATCTATGCAACATTTATACAACTGCTCTCATATTCTTTCACTACTTCACTTTTTATAAAAATAATATAATGGTTTCGATATTTCTATTTAATAATTAGAACATTTAATTTGTATTTTTCATTGAACATGACAACTAAATATTCATCTTTATTTCATTAGGTATTATAATTAAAATTCTTCTTTTTTATGAAAAAACTAATTTTGATCTTAATCTTGTATATTATTTAGATTTTTATTTGTCTTTATTTTTATTTTATCCAAAAATAGTGCATTTAGACTCTACAACTGCTATAGAATATTTAGATATATATTTAATTATTTATATTAACATAGTTGTATTGTTTCGCATTTTATATATATGCATACATTTGTGACATTAATATCGTAATAATAATAATAAAGCGATCTTTATTCTCTTGCATCTTGGATTCTAAATCCTATTTATGAGGGCATTTCTCGGAGCTTTCTATATGATAATTAAGACAGTTCATGATCATTGTCAAGCGTTTTCCGTAGAGTTCCACACGAGTGTATGAGTATGTGATTGTGACAATTGTACACGTAAGGTTGATGAGAGGTGATACGAAAGTTTCGTGGCCGAAAATGAAATAACCTTAAAGTTATGGGGTTTGCATGGAATCAAACAGTTTTGTTTGGGCTTGGGCCTGCCGACAGTTTATAGGCTAATATGTCTTGAAGCGCTCCTATTCTCTCTTCTTGGATCCTTGGGCTTGTCTGTATCAGTCCTCGGCTCGGATGAACAAGAAAGACCCATGGCTATTCTGGTGGACCCTTTACCTGTCTCTTGAGTATTTTTTGTTATAACGATGGGATCACACAGACAGAGCCGGACGAACGATACAGTATCGTAGATGGTAAACTCAACGGTTCAACGTAACAGCCGATAAACCATGTCGGACAGATAAACAAGGCGGAACTGATCGGTTCAGAAAAACTTAAAGATTTTTATATTTTGACATAAGTGAATGTCTCACAGAACACAATTAGGAGCAAATTAAAAATCAATTTGATATTATGTATGTTGAAACTCATTGGAAATGATAATTTTAATTGAATTCAAATCAAATCTAACCCAAACTTCCATGGAAATATAGGATAAAATGAATTTAGTTAGGAGATATTTTATATATGAAACTATAGCTATATTGAGCGTGTCAAATGAGAAGAATAATTGCTGGATAAAAAAGCTTTTCAGATTCAGCATGACGTCACGTGAGATCATCTTCCCCAAGAAAAATCTGTGGGCTCGTGTCCCAATTTAACCTAGCCCGAGATTTTTTTATTTTCGTTTATTGGTTGGGAATCAGAAATATCTCTCATTTTTTTCTTCGCCCTCGCGCCAATCCCTCGAACACCAGTCAGAGATACGTATTCTTTCCCGATTCGTTCCTCATTTTTCCCTCGCATCAGAGATCGGATTTTGCTTTTGTGATTCATTCCTGGCCATCGTAATTCGGTTCGAAAATCATGACCTTCTTCTGCCTTATCCGTAGTTCCGCCATGAAAGCTCCTTGCACCAGGAGGTTTCGTGAGCGCCTCTTATTTTCGAGGTTCTCTACGAATTTCAGACACGATCTCGGACGAAACGCCTCGTCCTCTCCGACCCCATTGGACAAAGCCCAGGGTTTGATTTCGTCGCCCATTTCGAATCTCGAGCGACCGAGGGTTTTATCGATTTCTCGAAGTTGGGTTTCGGCGGCAGTGAGAATCACCGGCGTGTCGGTAAGAGAATTTTCCACTTCTGTAGAAACCCATGTCGGTGACAAGAATTTTGAGAGGATTTACGTTCAAAACGGTATAAGTTCGAAGCCTTTGGTCGTTGAACGAATAGACAAAGACGAAGAGATCGTAGGTGGGCAAGAAGAGTCTAGGGCAGAGATCGACAACAATGGCGATAGTGCAAAGAATTCAGTGAGTTCTGCAGGATTTAGCTTAGAAAATGTTGAAACTCTGCGTGGGAAGAAGAACACGAGAGAGGAGAGTGATGCTGAGAAGGAAGCTTGGAGGCTATTGGAAAACGCCGTCGTGAGGTATTGTGGGTCTCCGGTGGGGACGGTGGCGGCAAATGATCCGGCAGATAAGCAGCCATTGAATTACGATCAGGTTTTTATTAGGGACTTTGTTCCATCGGCATTGGCTTTCTTGCTTAAGGGAGAAAGAGAGATTGTGAGGAACTTCCTCCTCCATACATTACAACTTCAGGTACGTATGTATGTATAGATATGTCTACTTGTGTGTATATTGGAGCATTTTGAACGTATAGCCAGTGGCTGTAGAATTGGAATGAGTTCGCCTTTGGAGTGTAAACTAACATTTGGAGAGACACATTTTGTAATCGGATTCAGAGCTTTCAGAATGTATATTGAATATCTGTCATTCTTATCTTATATTTATTTCCATTTTACAAGTGACATGTTATGTTGATTTTGGATTCTGTTATGGATGAACCCGGCTTGTCTGAATTGAAAGTGTTTGTGTTTGATCAAATATTAATTCTTAGGAAGGTGTGTACAAGTGTTTGTGTTTGATCAAATATTAATACTTAGGAAGGTGTGTAAGTATGTGTTGTTTCCTTGTGTTATAGAGCTGGGAGAAAACTGTAGATTGTTACAGTCCTGGTCAGGGCTTGATGCCTGCAAGTTTTAAAGTCAGGACTGTGCCTATTGACGAGAACAATACAGAAGATGTCCTCGATCCGGATTTTGGCGAATCAGCTATTGGTCGTGTTGCTCCTGTGGATTCCGGTCAGTTCATCATCTCTTTGGCTATAGATTATGCTCGTGTTTCCTGAAGTTTCATATGCTATTGACTATTCTGCAGGAGTAATGTCTTAAGCTGCATTGCCCTTGTTTGTTTGTTTCCCGGGAAAGTGTTCTACTGAATAGTTCTTCCAATCTCTGTCTATAGGTTTGTGGTGGATCATTCTCTTAAGAGCATATGGAAAACTAACGGGCGACTATTCATTACAAGAAAGGATCGATGTTCAGACGGGCATAAAGCTTGTCATGAAGTTGTGTTTGGCAGATGGGTTCGATATGTTCCCTTCGCTTTTGGTCACCGATGGTTCCTGTATGATAGACCGTAGAATGGGTATCCATGGCCACCCCCTCGAGATCCAAGTACGTTCAAATCAAAATTTCTTTTTTAAAATAAATTCTCTGATCATACTTACTTTTTACAGTTTCGAGCTGTCTATTTGAAGGGCTTAAACATTATTCTGTTTAATGCACCCGATATGTTTGCAGGCTTTATTCTACTCAGCTCTCCGATGCTCCCGTGAGATGCTTTCGATAAACGAAAGCTCCCAGGATCTCACAAGGGCCATAAACAATAGATTAAGTGCCTTATCATTTCACATCAGAGAATACTACTGGGTTGATATGAAGAAGATCAACGAGATATACCGATACAAGACAGAAGAGTATTCAACCGAGGCTACAAACAAGTTCAACATCTATCCTGATCAGATTCCTCCATGGCTAATGGACTGGATTCCCGAACAAGGCGGGTACCTCATCGGCAATCTTCAGCCCGCTCACATGGACTTTAGATTCTTCACTCTCGGGAATCTCTGGTCTATTATCTCGTCCTTAGGTACACCAAAACAGAACGAAGCTATACTGAACCTGATCGAAGCTAAGTGGGAAGACATCATCGGGCATATGCCTCTGAAAATATGTTATCCTGCTCTGGAATACGATGAGTGGCGTATAATCACAGGAAGTGACCCGAAAAACACGTGAGTTCTTCTTCCGCCTCCTCCTCTCCTTTCTCTTTTCGCTCATTTCGTTATCTAAACCTTGAAATGTTTGACAAAACGTTGCAGGCCTTGGTCATATCACAACGGTGGATCCTGGCCAACGCTTCTTTGGCAGGTATGAAATTGTTTTATCGGGAATATATGATACGAAACAGTCTTAGCAAATCTTGCTGGAAGTGTTCATCAACTATCCTACTCTGAAATCTTTAAAGTTCCGAGTTTTGGCACATCTACGAGTTCGAGGTTTAGTTGATACTGGTAAAACACTGAACTACGAGCATTTGGGTGGACTTTTTTTTGGGATCATTTGCTGGATTTGTGGTGTTTTTGGTACAACTTGAAGGTCTATTTGGCAATGATAATAGTCTGAGATTGTATTCATCCAAGTTCACTTTTCATCTGTTGATTTGGTTACAGTTCACATTAGCGTGCATGAAGATGGGCAGACCGGAGTTAGCCGAGAAAGCTCTTTCTGTGGCCGAGAAGAGGCTTCCGGGAGATCGATGGCCCGAGTATTATGACACTAGAACCGGTAAATTCATCGGTAAGCAATCCCGATTACACCAGACATGGACGATTTCTGGGTTCTTGACGTCTAAACTCCTCCTGGAGAATCCGGAGATGGCCTCGTTGTTGTTCTGGGACGAAGATTATGAACTTCTGGAGATCTGCGTGTGTGCTCTCAGCAAAACTGGCCGGAAAAAATGCTCCCGAGTCGCCGCCAAGACTCAGATTCTGGTCCGGTGAAGCGAAAACGGTCAAAGTTTTTAGCTTTTCCGACAGAAATATCGATTCAGACAGAGCTTTTTCTGTACAGATATACATTGCTTGTTCTATAGATTAAAGGAGTTGGAGATTCACACATTGTTTCGCGTTTCTGGTGTTTAGTCTTACTGAGAATGTTGTTGTCTGAAATAGAGCGTGTATATACACAGTATGCATACGTATAAAGATATGTGTTTGCTTGTAAGGATGAAACAGGTTCATGTTATTTAGCGTATTATTATTATTATTATTATTATTATTATTATTATTATTATTATTATTATTATATTCGTGATATAGATCCAGCTAGAAGATTTTAATGTTTAGGAAATTTTTCATAAATATACTCCAATTTATCTAAATGAACTACATAAATACTTCAATTTTTAATTTGCTAAATAAATATCTTAATTTGATAAATTTATACCGAATATAAATATCAAATTTTAAATTACTAAATAAATACTCTAATTCGATTAATTTATACCAAATAGATATCAAATCAATGACATAATTAATTGATAATTATATCAATTTGTGTCAAATAGATGTGGATTTGATACAAAATAACTAAATTATGGTACTTATTTGTCAATTTAAAAAATGAGGTATTTGTATTTTTATAGAAATTTTCCTACTGTTTATGAAAATGATGATAGTGATTATTTTTCTATTCAGTTTAAGTTTAATTTTTAATTACAAAAATGTATTTTTCAAAATAATTTTATACATTTATTGTTTTTTGTAGTTTATCATAACAACCGAAATAATATCTTTTTAGTTTTATTTCTAAATTCAAAGTCATAATGTACTAGACAAATGTATGTATATACACATTTTTTAAAATTAACATATTTTAATATAAATATTCAATTGTATATGCTTTTACGCAGTATAAAATTTTGCAATTTCATATAAATTCACAGTATATTTAGGGAGAAAAGAAACCAGAGGAGAGGACAACATGGTCTTTTTGTCATTTAAATCAGCGACTGCGATTGCGGTAATAATCAATCGCAGACCCAAACACGGCCTAACAATCATTTTCCCTCGAGAAAGTTCCTCGTCGGAGCAAAAACCCCAAATCGATTTTGGTAACATAAGATACACAAACCCTAATGCTGAAGTCAAATTCCTGAGTAATTCTTCCCGCCATTGTCTTCTCTGGGTCTATCTTTTACGGAATCTGTCTCTAGCGAAGCAGAGGAAGAAAAAAAACTTAAGTGTTCGATGCATTCGAGGTCGGGTCGGACACGGCGGTCTTCTTTCCTGAAACCGGGATCCGCCGTGGAGATAAGCTCCGACGAGCATGGGTTTCGGGGCTCGTGGTACCCGGGGACGGTCGTCCGGCGATCTTCCGACAAGAGCCCAGCGAAGTACCAGGTGGAGTACGCGACCCTGTTCTTGGACAACGAGGGGAAGAAGCAGCTGAGGGAGATCGTGGAGTTGCGTCAGCTTCGCCCTCCGCCGCCGCCGGAGAAGGGGAGAGACTTCGCGGTGGGGGAAGAAGTGGATGCTTATTACAATGATGGGTGGTGGGAAGGTGTCGTGACGGAGGCTCTGGGTGATGAAGAATTCAATGTTTTCTTCAGGAGTTCGAAGGATCAGATTCGATTTCGGAAGAATGACCTGAGGTTGCATAGGGAGTGGGTTGATGGTGCTTGGAGGCCGCCGGTAGAGGCGGAAGAAGAAGACGAAGAGGAAGAAGACGAAGAAGAAGAGGTACACATCCTGTCCACGTTTGTCTGTTCCATGTGTATGTGTTCTGTCTATATCAATCTACAATTGGTCGGAAGGATTCCCCTTTCCCATGTCGGGTTAGGGTTTGTTCGCATGTGTTATCTGGTCTTAGTTTTCGTAATATCTGGGCTACTGGGTTATACAGGCTCTGTGAAACTGAAACCCATGAATCCATGATAGCAGAAGAGACCATAAGCAATAGGTTTTTCCTCTTATGTGTTGTTCGAAATGAAACAGGAAAATGGGAATTTGGTTTTATGTCTGAAAGTGTTGATAACATATATTTCTGAAACAAAAACTTGAAAGACTATGGAAATAGAGTTCTTCTCTGCAATTAGCTATTCTGAGTGGAGCATTTGATAGAAACTTTGACATAGTTTCAACTCGAGGGTCATGCCTTAGTTCTTCCATGCCATGTTTAGTGCTTGCTGTTCAGATTTTTGTCTCGATTTTAGTAAGTTCTCTCAGTCCTGTTATTAGCTTTAAGGTAATCTGCTGCATTCATGTTCATATTTTCATTTTTTTAACCTGCAGAACATTTTGTGCAAAGTAGATCCAGAAATCGTCAAAGCAATCGCAAAGCAAGAGTTCTCCAACGATACAGTTGTTGAGGTTTGCAGCGGGGAAGAAGGTTTTGAGGGCTCTTGGTTCGTGGCTAGAATTGTTGAACCCATTGGAGAAGACAAATACCTTGTCGAATACCGGGATTTGAGAGCAGAAGATGGCGTAGAGCTTCTGAGAGAAAAAACTGACTTTCTGCACATACGGCCGCCGCCACCATCGAAGGAGGAGGATAAAGATTTTGAACTGGGAGACAAGGTAGATGCGTATTACAATGACGGGTGGTGGGAAGGTGTTGTCACAGAGATTTTACCAGATGGGAGATTTGGTGTTTTCTTCAAATATTCAAGAGAGAGGATTCGGTTTGGAAGGCAGGGTCTTCGGTTGCATAGGCACTGGATAAACGGGAACTGGCAGCTGTCAACGAAAGCAGGAGAGAAAAAGAAGGCAAAGGTGTTGTAATCTTCTCCACATTGATAATCTCTCGGAGATCCCTTTTTCCTCAAATCTTTCTATTTTGATTCATTCACCCTTGAATAAATGTCTTAGTATTTATATCGATCTGCAGAAAGTTTCACGCAATGGGAAAGTGGGTACTAAGAAAGAAACCGGAAAGCAAGAGTTTAGCATTGGATCTGTAGTCGAGGTAAGCAGTGAGGAAGAGGGTTTTGAAGATTCTTGGTTTGTTGCGAAGGTTATCGAGGCCCGAGGGAAGCGAAAATACCTCGTTGAGTACGAGAAACTGAAAGGTGAAGATGGCAAGGAGTCTTTGAGGGAAGAGGTCGACGTTCTGCACATGAGGCCTCGACCACCGGAGACATTCATGGTCGAGGGCTTTGTCAAACATGAGAAAGTGGACGCTTTGTATAATGATGGATGGTGGGTTGGGGAGATCTCGAAGGTTCTCGCCAATTCGAAATATGTGGTTCACTTCAAGAATACTCAGGAGTTCCTAAAGTTCGATCATTCTCAGCTGAGGCTGCATCAAGAATGGATCAATGGCAAGTGGTTAACACCTTCCAAGGTATTCTTCTACGAAAAAAAAGACTTTCCTTTTACGTTTTCTTTCGCATATTGGCATTGATTGATCGTCTTCTCCGTTGTGTTAACAGTAGGCAGAATGTGTGATTTCGGGTTGAGAGCAGGCAAAGATTATTTCAATGGCGTCAGCAATTTGGTGCTCAGTTTTTTTTTTTTTGGGCTGGCTTCCTTCCCTTGAGATACTTTCTACTACTAATATTGGCCATGTCCTTTAGTATCCCGCGATGTATTAGAGACGTATAATTCAGTAAATATCTTCTTAACAATGCTGTAACCGTGAAGGATGCTGCTCCCTCTTTGGCCTTGTCGGCTCAATGGATGTCTACTTTTTTTTTTTGACACGGGCTCGGTTCAGACCGGTTTGTAAGTTTAAATAAATAGTAAAATACGATTGAAAAAAACGATTTAATGCCCGATATGCATTATTGCTTATAGCATGACACTAGAACCCAGGTGATAATTTATGTGGAAGGAAATATTAGGGAAAGTCCACTGGGTCCCTAATGTCACCGTTTTTTTACCGCGGTTAAAACGTTTTTAGGGCAAAAGATCTGGTCTCTTCTCTTGCTTTAGATTGGATCTTTGTAGGGTTGCAAGAAACTCGAAACAAAACGAAGCAAACCTTGATCGAAGTGAAGTTACCCATTTGCATGAAATGCAGTCATCTACGTTTTTTTTTTTTCTGATTCTATTCTGCTGAGTTCTTAGTAGCCATCAACAAAGATATATGCCAGAATTATAGACAGTAGATTCTTGTTTTCTCTTCCAAGAAGCAGCTTTAATGGTAGAGATTGATGGAGGAAATGCTTTGGAACAGAAACATCTTATTACAGGGTAGAATCAAACAGCAGCAGTACGAGGATTAAAGACACAACTCATCAAGATTCGAGAGAGAGACCAGGTCAGACCTCCTTGACCTCAACAACCTTATTGGCCTCACTTTCTCCTCCAACACCATTGGAGCTCTTCTCCTTCTCCTTCTCCTTCTTCTTCTCATCCTCCGCCTCATCAGGAACCACAAACGCAGAGTACGGAAACGTCCTCGACAACCCGGCAGGAGTCTTGAACGTTATCTTCTTTGTCTCCTCGGCCGCGATCTCGTTGAGCGTGATCCACACAAGAAGCTCCTTCGCTTTTACGCCGGTCAGCTTCTTGATCTTCCCGACCTCGACCACGGCCGTGACCTCCGTCGCGTAAGACACGAGCTTCCCGATCTTCTCGAACTTGTGGTTTATGCTCTTCTTTTGCTTGAGCCACACGGTGCCTGACTCTCTCTCGTACCCGACCTCTTGTATGTCCTTCAATGGCAGCAGCCCATTTGGCATGGCCACTTCCCTCAGGAACTCCTTCGTCTTCTCTTGGCATAGCGCGTCTCCATGGTAGATTTCGGCTTTAGCTCTCACTTCTTCTGCAATCGACGCCATATTCTCTCTGCTTCTCTGCTTTTCCTCTTCTGGGTTTTGCTTTGATGAAAAAGCAGGTTTTTGTCTATGCTTCTTGTGGGGAAGAAGAAAGGGACATCACTTTTTTAATATATAGGTGGAGAGATATGAATTCACCCCTTGATTCTTGATATTTTTACAGAAATGCCACTGGCCCATGGTAGTCAATACTGGCTTTAAAGACATTGGGATGTGGGAAACTGTCTCTTTAGGTGAGCTACCAACAGTTGTGTTCTGTCTCTTTCGAGCTAACCCTCTGGCTTATGTGTTGGAGTACTAATATATAATTATATCTGAAATAAATTTGATATAAAAAATATATATCTTTGAAATCTACAAATCAGCACTGAAAAAAATCGAATATACAAATTTAAAAAATATTTACATCAAGCTTTTTACATGCTTGAGGTCTCGTTTTCCAAAAACATTGTTTGTTAAAAGTTATATAGATGGTATTAATATCAATTTATTCTGCTTTTGTGATTATATAACAAAATATGGTTATAGATATGGGTAGTTATTTAAATAAACGTGTATATCAATGCATGGAGATGGAGTAATGATCTGGTTCGGCACGGAATATGCTATTGAGTTACATAAAAGATTAACCAATAGAAATACCGAGTTCAATGTGTTTGTGCTTATCATGATAATGTTTTTACCCGGATGGGCGCTGCCGTAAAGATATATAAAATGGAACATCACATAATATTATATAATGATATAATAATATGGAATTCATTTTTAAAATTTAAATTCATCGAATCGATCCAAATTAAGTATCAAAAATAACATAATAAAATAGACTATAAAAACTAGACCGAAACAAAATTTAATATAACCCGAACAGGATTCAAAATTAATATAAACATTTGATAAATATGTTTTTTTTTGTGACAAAACTGTATTCGAAAATAAACCAACTAAACATAATTAAAATCCGAAATTCACCCTTGATTTATATAATATGGGGAAATGCGGTGTAACAAATATTAATTTATTCCAAATAGTATTTAAGCATGGTTCGATTAATCCTTTTTTATAAAAAAAAAAAAAAAAAAAACAGGGTTCGATTAAACGAAATGTAAAGAATTTAGGCAAAAAAAAAAACAGAACATATAAATGTGATGCAAAGTTGCATTAATTGTATAGTTGGGGTGAATTTATGGCCGAATTGAAGTTAACTTGGTGGGGAGACAAACAATGCTGTTTGACAAAGACATCCAATTAAATTCTGACACGTGTCTTGTATGGTTGAGAAGACCCACCCATTAAATTGTATGTGGTGAGGTGACATTCAACGAACAAAATCGTCAAGATTATGATCATAATAACTATGATGAAGGGTCGATGATACAAACGCAGAGTGGTCGGTCTATCTACATTTTTATTTAATACATGTATTGGTCCAAAATTAATCTTTTTAACCATAATCCGAAATTAATATTTTGATATTTGTATCCATGCATATGTAACATCTCTATCATCATCTATGTTAGCGCTGAGTAGGTGGATATATTGGATTCTAGTTCGATTTTTATTAGTAATTATTTTTGTATTTAGTTTGTTTTTTTTTTTCAAAAATTATATTTATTCCATTTTTTAAAAAAATATTTTTGTTTAGTTATTCCAACTATTTTTATATTCTGAGTTTTATTTCATTAACTCAAGTTTTCAAAAAAAATATATATCCATTTTTAAAAAAATATATCTTATTATCTTTGATTTCACATTTCCTAATTATAAAGATCATTAAGATTTATTATTTTTTCTGCAAGTGTAAAATTTATTTATCCTTTTATTCGGATAAACCATTTTTTTATGCATCGTATTTAATGATATAAACGGAAGAAACTCCTATAAATCAAGTTAGTAACCAATTCAGGAACGTAAAAAGCTAGGTGTTATGTTATTGGAAAAATTAAATAACAAATATACAATTTAACTTAATATACAAGAAAAATTCAATTTCGTCCGTTTGCTCACACACTAACTCCAAACAATAACTATATTTTTTTTTCCATTTGTGTAACGAAATATGTTTCTTGTCAACCCATTTTTACCCAAACCAGACTGCAGAATCAAATCTCGTACTACTACCAAACTGTTTTTCCATATATTTTTTAAGAAATTATAATTATTTCCCGTCTTTATTTTTAAATAGAGAAAATTATGGTCTATGGTCAAGATATTTATAACTACATTTTGGCAACTTATGTTTTTTTTTTAAATTGTATATTTATGGGTTAAATTCAAAATTTATACTCATAAACTTATTACTTCAAAAAAGGATCGTGATCGTTATTTCAAGTTAAGAAGAAATAAATAAGAAAGAAAAAAAAATAGAAGAGTGTAAATCCAAATTATATGTACATATGATTTTTAGATCGTATTTAGAATATATATATCGAATCGGGTCGGATATCCAATCGATGTTTACGTAATTTTTTCCGAACACTAATTTGATGTTTTTAAATTTAGGAGGTGTCATTTCAGATTTCTATTTGGATTTGAATCGGTTATACTTAGATTTGATTATTTTGGTTTAAGAAAAGTTCTAAATTTTTAAAATTTTAAATTATTTTTTTAAAATCTAATTCGTTTTGGCTTGATTTTTTTTTTATTTTTAGAAAATAATAATCATTTGATTTTATATTAGATTCAATTCAATTAAAAAATCCGTTCCATTTATTTACTTCGTCAAACGCGCGTTTTAAAACGCTAGTTAGCGTTTGGTGACGCGTCTGATCGAATCAAACGGTCTAGGCATCGTATTGGTACCGGGGAAGTGTATTGTTCGTTCCGTCTTCCATTCCGGAAACCCTAATGGGAGCGATTTCGGGTGGCGATCGCGAGAATCAGAGGATTGAAGAGGAAGAGCCATATGGCGTGTTGCTTTATTACAAGTACACCTCTATTCCCGCTCTGAGCGAACTCGCTTCGTTCTACGAATCCAACTGCAGCTCGCTGGGTCTACTCGGCCGAGTCAGGCTCTCCCCTCATGGTGTCAATGTCACTGTAAGCTTAGCATCTCATTCTCTTGATCAAATGCGAAGAAACGAACCATAAGATTGATCTGTTTTACGTTTAACGATGTGCCGGTTGAATATCGAGGGGTTTGGGTTCTCTGTTTGGTTTAGCTCTTTTGAGTTCTATGTTCGGTTTGGCTGTCTGATTGAAGATCGAATGATCAGAATGTTTGGTCCTTTTGGATTCTGTGTTTCATTTGTCTGTCTGATTGAAGATCGAATGATCAGAATGTTTGGTCCTTTTGGATTCTGTGTTTCATTTGTCTGTCTGATTGAAGATCGAATGATCAGAATGTTTGGTCCTTTTGGATTCTGTGTTTCATTTGTCTGTCTGATTGAGGATTGAAGGTCGTGAGGCCAAATACTTGTCGGAATTGGTAGGAACGAATGTGAAGTCTATATGCTTTTGAGGGTCTATGTTCATTTTTTGCTGTCTGGTTGAGTACTGAAGATCTCGAGATTGAGTTACTGCCAGAATGGGAAGAAATGAAATGAAAGTCTATCCCTATTTAGTTATGTGTTTGCTTTCAATGTCTGATTGAAGATCCGAAGGTCCTCAGATCGAATTATGATTGGAGTTGAATGAAATGAAACGGAAGTTTTACCCTTTTGAGTTCTATGTTTGGTTTGAATCTCCAACAGTCCAACTTTAGGTTAAGTAAGAGCCATCTGAATCAACTAAGGAACTTCCACCGTCTGAATGATATATTAGAGGTTGATGATTATATGATTGAAACAACAGGAAATCTTTTGGATTTTGGTTAGGTTGGTGGGAGGTTAGCTGCATTGGAGGAACATATTGATGCTCTGAAGCTGAATCCTTTGTTTGAAGGGACTGATTTCAAGCTTGCGTCTTGTCATCACCCCTTGAACAACAAGGTCGCTCAGGAATGCGGGTTTACATCACTATCGATCCGGGTTGTTGAGGTTGTTTGCCTTTACGTTCTTCTCATCCTACCATTTTAGTCTCTTATCTTTTCATGACACAATACATTTGTGCCAACTGCTCGTGTTTCATTCAATTTGTCTTCATCTTGTCTGTACCTCTTCACCCGGAAATCGCTTATTGCATTCTGTTTGGTTTTATGCCATGAGCCTTTTGATTTGCAGGAATTGGTGACTTTTAGTCCTTGTCCTCTCTTAAAATCCCCGGAAATCTCCAATGCCGGAAAGCATCTCTCTGCTGCTGAGTTCCATTCCGTTCTTCAGAATGCCGGTAAGAAGCACTTTCTTGGATTGTGGGTCTACTTTTTGCTTAATACTATCCACTAGTTTTTTAGTGGACCAATTGCAATTATGCAAATATTATCACAGCTGATTTGTTTATTCTTGTCTGGTAACACAGGTAAACTTCTTGATGGAAACAGTGGGGATGACAATAAGGAACTCATCTTGCTTGATGCGAGGAACTTGTATGAGACAAGAATTGGGAAATTTGAAACAACAAATGTCGATACCTTTGATCCTGAAATCAGGCAGTACAGTGATTTGCCTTCCTGGATTGATCGGAATACCGATAAACTAAAGGGCAAAAATGTACTTATGTAAGAATGGCAAAGGGGTTTCCTGAGTGTTACCGTCGTGTTTGTGTCGGTCAAATTGCTGAAGTTCTAATTTGTTGCGGTAATCAGGTACTGCACCGGCGGAATCAGATGCGAGATGGCTTCTGCATATATTAGGTCAAAAGGGGCTGGATTTGAGAACGTGTTTCAGGTAAGATCCCGGAAAATGTTGATTTGACCCGCGTCAAGACATGTCACTGATTCAGGCTTTTCTTTCTTTTTGCCCAGCTGTTTGGTGGCATACAGAGATACCTGGAACAGTTTCCCGATGGGGGTTTCTTCAAAGGGAAGAACTTTGTGTTTGATCACCGGTATGGCGATCACTAACCTTTCTGACCAAACCCTTTTCATACCGAGAAACATAAACTGAAATTCTTCTGTTCTTTCTTGCAGCATCTCGGTCGGGAGTTCAAAATTCGACATCATTGGCAACTGCCTTCTCTGCGGATCTTCTTTCGATGATTATTCTCCGCGTTGTCGTTGCCAATTCTGCAGGATGCTTGTATTAGTCTGTGATAGTTGCAGGGTAATGCATTCGGATTGTTCAACTACCGGCTTTTGATTTTGTGTTTAGGGTTTTATGGTAAATCTTGGGCTTTTGGTATGACATTGCAGGTGAAAGGGGATCTTTATGTATGTGAGCTTTGTCGGAAACACGGTAAAGGCACACACACTTTCAGTCTTGAACTCTCATCTCAACATTCCGAGACAAACGGTAAGACCTCTGTTCTGTTTTCCATCTTTATCGACGGATACATTCAGTTTCCGATGTTCATATAGACTTAGTATCGACAAATACAAGCGTATGTAGTATCCGTATCGGAGATGGAAACTCTCAGTTGTCCAATTTTTTTTACCGTTATATGGTGCCTTAGACATTAGAGCTGGGGAAAAAACCTGAATACTATACGAGATGAGTTGGGCTATTAACATGAGGAAAACCCGGGAATCAGGTTCGGGTAATTGGGTATGAGATTAGATATTACCCATGGATATCCGAATAAACAATGAAAAGACATTTTTATCCCTTTATTTTACAGTTATTACATACAAACCTACCGAAATCTCTTTAAAAATTTTGGATTTGGGTTCGGTAATCTGGAATTTCAGTATCCGATCTGAGCCAACTCATGATATATGATATATATTTGAAAGCTTGAGTTCGGGTATCTAACCAAAACGGATTCGGGGTCGGATAATATCATAAGATGCTAGATGTTCGGGTTTGGATTCAGGTAATTTGAAAATTTTGGATATCCGATCAGTGCCTAAATCCCTTCTTGACCTTCACCTTTTCTTCTCTGCTTCTATGGTTACACAGGATCCGAGACTCGTCAGAAGTTGAGGATCTTATGCTTACATGGCTTTAGGCAGAATGCGTCCGGCTTCAAAGGGAGAAGTGGATCGCTCATTAAGAAACTTAAAAATATCGCAGAGCTTGTGTTCGTCGATGCACCTCATGAATTACCGTTTGTCTACCAGACACCAGAGAACGATGCCCCGTCTTCAGATCAAAACCCGATTTCTACCCTGCCACCAGGTACCTGCAAGAAGAAGTTTGCATGGCTGGTTTCACCAGATTCCGAGAAAACCGATGGGACGAGCTGGAGATTGGCCGAAGGAAAGTTCGATCCCTTGCAATACCAGTATCAAACGGATGGGTTCGATGAATCATTAGCATACTTGAAGAAGGTCTCCTCAGAACAAGGACCGTTCGATGGCATTCTCGGATTCTCGCAAGGCGCAGCCATGGCAGCCGCAGTTTGTGGGCAACCGGATAGCCTCAAAGGCGAAATGGACTTCAGATTCTGCGTTCTCTGCTCGGGTTTCGCTCCTCTGCCATTGTTGGAGAAGAAGAGAAGGTCGATACGATGCCCTTCGCTTCACATTTTCGGGAGCGAACCAGGAAAAGATCGACAGATAGTGACTCGGGTCAGCGCTGATCTCGCTGAATTTTTCGAAGAGGGTTGCGCCACCGTCATCGAGCATGACTCCGGCCACATAATACCTACAAGAGCTCCTTATATCGATGAGATCAAAGCTTTCCTCAAAAGATTTATCTGAAGAAAAAGGTTTGAGACTCGAAACCAAAATCTTTGTTGCAGTGAGAGAAATGGTTTATTACAGATTGGGAAGACTCCTGAAAAGGAAAAGAAGCCTTTGAATGTGATGATCCTGGCGAGTCGGCGGTTGGAGACCGCATTTCCTTTGACAAAGAGCTTTCACCGGCGGGATCTGTCTTTACAATCTTTGTCCGGTTTGGTTTGATTCAATTCTGATCAAACCAGAATCGAACCGGTTGATTTTGTAATTTATATTGGAGATCCCAACCAATCTTCGCATAATTTTGTATTTTGGTCTATTTTTTAATTTATAATTTCGATCCTTTTAGTTAGTTAGACCTTTGGATTTTTTTATATAAGAAATACTAGAAATAAATAGATTTTTTTTTTGTGTGGTTCGGTATTTTTTTTATCGTTAGTAGAAATAAATATTGACTCACTTAAGTATTTAAATTACAAAGAGTTTTAATAGGTAAATATATTTAAAACACATATTTTTCCACACGTATTTTGCATCCGAAAGACTACATGGCACGAGTTATGTCCGTCTATTGCAAACCGGTATGAGAAGAGATTAAACCAGTTTTATTATCGGTTGATACCGGTTATCTAACATATTTGAAATCGTACCGAACCAAAGCACCCATTCAGAAAAGGGCGCTTCTCTTCATAGCACGCGTTTCTCTTTTCACTAACTCCGTAACTTGTTCACGAAAACGTATTATTTAAATAACGAGTATGAATGGTTGAACCCACGTGCGTATTACAAAACAACGAGATCTGACGAAGAATATCTTCAAGTGCACATGGTTTCGCCACGTGTTCCATCGCATTACATCATATATAAACTCCACATATCTTATACACGTGTATCTACGTGTTTGTATGTATAATGTATATACATACCATATGATGTGATGTGTGTCTACGAGTTTAAATGTATAAATACAATGTGCATGTATAGCATATTATGTAATGCGTATCTACGTGTTCGTATATACATAGTGTACGTGTATACCATATGATGTAATGTGCATCTACGTGTTTGTATATATACATGTACGTGTATACCATGTGATGTTATGTGTATCTACGTGTTTGTATGTATACAACGCATATATGATGCACATGTTTCATTGGACTCATTCATCAACTAGCGAACTTTCTAGCTAACAGTTAGATTTCCAAAAAACCAAATGGCTTTTAAAAAAGTTTCATATCAAATATTACATCAAAAAAAAAAAAAGTTTCATATCAAATAAACACACATTAACTCACATTTTTAATTTGTTACAAAGGTCATTAACGTAGATATATATCTAAAAATTATTGGGATATATAGTTCCGATGAATTAAGATAATATATATTTATTTCAAAATTAAAATTTTAAAATTATTAATAATTTTAATGGTAAGTATTAATTCTCTTGAAAATTATATCGGTTATATTATTCCCAATAAAATTATTTTTCAACATTTATAACTATATAGATACATACACACACATATAACGACGGATTGAGATAATTATTGCACTAAGCATATAATATACACGCAGATATAAAAATGAAATGTACTCAGAAACCGAATTTACCCAAATGAGACATATAAGACAAAGGATATTAAACAATTAATTGACTTTATTTTATTTTATTTTATAGGACCAATGTTTCATATAATTCGTATAAACAATTTCGCTGTTTTGTATTTTTGGGAGAAGACAAAAAGTGGGCAATCTACACATCCACATTGGCTCTCAAAATAATTACTAATTAGAGTCACATGTACGCATGTGATCGGATTGGGTCTACGCATCCAAAGCCAACACATCACGTTTCCCTTGTTTTCTTCTTTCTCGCTTTCTTTGTTTTTTTATTTATTTAAATTTAATTTGATCTATCTCTCAATATATATATATGTTTATTTTACATATAATAATAGTAAGATTTATAACTCCAATGATTAAAAGGAATTGTCCAATAAAACTCTGTCACAATTACAAATTGTCAATAGGAAATTTGGAAATATCTTAGCTACGGGAAATTGACAGAATAGAATAAATTTTGATGGGATGATGAAATTCCCAACATGCGAATATCGTATCATATGAATATTTCATAACAAATGTACGAAATTTTAAAATGATATAAGTCAGCCATATAGTAGCCAATGAGAGGCTTACACGTGTGAACACATTTGAGCTGACACGTGTTGAGTCTTAGATCGAGAAGGGAGATATGTTCGTAAGAGAGGTCTTCCCATTTCCCCCTTTTGTTGGGAATTTGTGGTCCTTTCTTTTCTTTTCAAATGTTTCTCTTTCTTTAATTCAAACCCACACATTATCAATTTCTAAGGATAAGTAATAGTTTTGAAATTTAATTTTTATAGCCATTTAAAAATATATTAATTTTATTTTTAATTTAAATTTAATTCTTATTAAACCTATTATTATCTAAACAAAATTTATTAATTGATTATTTTCTGATCATGTTGGATTTATTTATTTTAATTTTTTAAAATAAAGTCGATTTTATATTTTATTTATTTATTATTATTATTATTATTAAGAAATCCAAGTCAATCTCTTCGCATTTACTGTACAATATTTCATGTCATTGAATTTTATAAAAAAATATGAACCAATGAATACTTATTTTTGTTATCTTTTGTATTCTAAATTTTAACTGTTTATTATTAGCATAATAAATCTATCTGAATTAATTTCATAGGGATCAGATAAGACCTTTCAATTAATTCCAATTTTAGCTTGAATATCATGGAAAACAATAATTACAAAACAATTTAAATAAAAATATTTATATTTATTTTTATTATATTATATTTTGATTTGATTATTTTAAAAAATATTTTATAAAAATTTATATTCCTATTATTTGAATAGTGTCATTTTATTTAAATTCCATTATTATTAAAATTTTAATTTTTTAATTGTTGTATAGTCAAAAGTTTAATTTGAATTCGTTTATTTTAAACAACTTTATAAAATTGTTTATACTTTATTTGATTCAGATTTACGCCCCACAACATAAATATCAACATGTAACTACATGAATCATCTATAATTAATTGACTGTATAAATTGTCCTTTTAAAATACATATTAGTTACAACATATATGTGGAAAATAGATAAGTATTCGAACTAGGAATTTGACTATTGCATAATATTCCTCTCAAATTATTATTAGAGAAACTTTTATTTGATTTTTTTTTTCATGTGTGAAACAAATTTTGCCCTCTTATTTCTCAATTTAAATTTATTAGGTTCTCCGTTTTAAGAGGGAACGAAAGGGACTTTTTTCCTCTTTTTTTGGCTGTACCAAATGAATGACTGAAGAAAAACAAAAAACGACAAAAGGAAGAGAAAATAAAAGGTAATATACAAATAAGTACATGAATTAAATAAAAAAAAATCTATATGGTCGACAAAATCTTAAGAGAGAGAGAGAGAACTAATTATTATTTAACACGTGGCACAACTAAGCGCCGTCAAGTTCCGGTTGACGGCGGCGGCGCGGTGGCTAAGAGGTCGGCGAGAGCCGTCATGGCCCGAACCTGCATCTCTAGAGCCGCGATATAATCGGTTGCTTCTTCTAGAAGATTTGGTACTGAAACTTTCCTGCAACCGGGAACCAGCCGGCCGAGAGTCTTCAGTTTCATCTCAACCGCCGGTAATTTCGTCTTCGTTGACCTCTCCGCCGTCGTCTCCGACAGTATTCTCGGCCGGTCTTTCCTGGTCAACTTCGCTTTCTTGTGCTTCCTCAGCCTCGCTCGGACTCGAGTCGTTAGGATCGCTCTGCTCCACCGAGTCGTACCACGAGCCGACGCCGCGAGAACTCGGTCAGCCGCATCTCGGATCTCTCTAATTTCGCTGGAAATTTTGTCAGAGTCGCCGGATCTCCGTCGAACTCGGCGGAGAGCTTCGACGAGCTTCGAAGAGTAGATCTGTTGTTCCCGCTCCGTTCTCCATCTCTTCGTCCCACGCCTCGCCTGGTCTTCGCCGATCGATCGCCGTGTCTCCGCCTCAGATTTCCCCCGCCTCTTCCGGCGAGATTCCGGCGACGTAAAGCCGATTGATTGAATAGTAGGAACTACATCCACCATCCTCGGATCAGAAAAAACAACTCAAACCACGAATCTGACCTCTTAAGAACCAGAGATCCCTTCGTTTCTCGTCAGTATTCACAACAAGCAAAGAAATTCAAAATCGATCTCGAAACTAGAGGAGAAATGGAAGACGGAGAGAGAGAGAGAGAGAGAGAGTTTCTCTCCGCGTGTTGCGCAGAATTAGGCGATGCAGAAACTAAAAGAGAAATGGAGGACGAAGCTTATATATGTGCGCAGAATCTCCCGAGAGAGAGAGAGGGGTAACATGGGAAACGGCGCGGCCGTGGAAATGTCGCATTTAATGCCGTATTTACCTTTTTTTTATTTTGTTTTATTGTAAAAAATGTGTGTATTATATCTACACAACTTGCTTGCTGTCATGAAGTCTGCTACTTAAATTTATGTGTGTGTATATATATATATAACGGGAGAACTAGGGCTCGGCCGAGTCTGACTCATGATAGTTGACCGCTGACTCCTTGTCCTTGTTACTTGTTCGGATTCTCGATAATAACAAATTTTGTTATCCTAACTAAAATTCAAAGAGTTACGCGTATTCAAATAATATCAGATTTTTACTATTCAAATTCAATACAAATTGTTTGAATATTTAAAGTTTCGTGATAGAATAATTTTATCCACTAATAACATCCAAAACCAACTCCATATAAAAGTTAAAAATATAGAGGAATTAAAAGCTCTAACTTGACCAGCAAGTTATCTTATCTCATCCAATTTTAAGACCAAAAAAATATAATAATACCAACAATAAGAATATGATGATGATGACGATGATGATGATGATGATGATGATGATGATGATGATGATGTCCAGAGAAACCGATTGAATCACTATAACAAAAAAAGGTTTCAGAAATATCCATCAACCACTTTTGATCGAACACAGAAATCCATGAACCCCCCCCCCCCCCCGTCATCACTTCCATTACAGATCCTTTGCAGTACTAAACCCTTCCAACATACATATATCACCCATTAAAGGAAGCAACTTTTCTCCTGAGCAGTTTAATGGGGAGATATCCAGACAACATATCTCTGTGTTGGGTCGTTTTGGCATTACCAGGAGCCTTCAGCACCAACAGTAGGGTTGTGGAACGACGAGAATTCCCAGAACGTCTTTAACGAGTAGGGCTGCGAGATCGTTACTCCTTCCTCCGTTATCTTCGCTATCTGCAGAGTTCTCGAGTAATTATTCAGATGAACTAAATAATCTTCCAAGACGACGAAAAGGGCAAAAAAGCTTTCAGTACAGTCTGTGATCTTAGTTTAGCTCTTACGGGTCCCCAGTATTACCATAACGTTTACTTTTAGTATGAAAATAAGCTTTTTCGGGCTTATGAATGATGCTGACAAGATATGTTAAAGAGTGTTTTGTATGGAGGTTTCAGCAAAAATACCCAAGAAATATGATGAGGACAAACCTGAAGCTTGTTGACAGCTGATCTGTCACGGTACAGAAGAACTCGCATACATTTCTCGAGTAGCTTGACGCCATCTTCGAAGCTGAGGTCCTCGTGCCATTCATCGCGAAGAATAGGCCTTGCAAGGTGGTTCCCGAACCCAGTGGCAACATGATTGTCCTCAAAACTAACACCAATCATTGAAACCTAGAGAGGAATTTGTAGAATGGTGGGAATCAAATCCTTGCCATAAGTAAAAAGAACAAATCCGAAGAGAAATTATAGGGTAATACCATTCCCAAATACTTCTCCCCGTTTTTTACTCCTCCAAGCACAAGTGTATTCCACAAAGGGTTGAACTTGTTTCGCCGGTTATACATGACTCGGGTCAGATAGTTGTGAACCTCCTTTGGCCCGAGTGAATTACCATCATCCCACATATTATCATACAAGCTGAAAAGAACATCAGTGACAACCATGAGCAAGCCAAGAACGAGAATAGTTAAGTAAAGGTGAGTAAAAATAATTTTACTGTCAGATTCAGACAGTGTTTTTTACATGAGTTCATCGAGATAACGCAGAATCTCCTGGAAGTCACTGATTTCCCCACTGGCACCGAGAAGTGAGTGCTTCCCGATGGGCTTCATTCGCTCAATGCTCTTGTAACGCAACGTAGAACCATAGGAACCTGTAGTTCAGGAAACAATTGAATAAGCAACAGCATCATCACTTACTGGGAAATAGATACCGGTAAGATTTGAGACAAAAAAGAAAATCAAGCTCGTAAGTATGGATACTGGGAACTGTTGCAATTATATTTCCGCTAGCAAAAGGAACAAGCTCATAGACACCGAGTCACCGACAAATCTCAACCATTCAGACGTATGGCCGATATAAATTCTCATCATTCCAAGAAAACAAACCCAACTTCAACTTATCTCAAAACAACATATTGACCGAAAAAACTTAATATATTTAGTTTTTCACTGCTGTCTCCTGACAGTCTCATCAAGCAGAAAGAATAGCACAAGACATCCAAATAACTTCAATGAAAGATAGCACATAGAAACACATTCACATTGAACAACAAGCTAACAATCAAGCCCATATCGCTATAAATAAAAAAAAATCGTCCTCATTGCCGTTCTTCAGTGCATTGGCAGCGCTTTACACTAAGAGCAATACAAGCATAGTTATATATATATATATATATATATAAAACCCAACTTCAAGTTGCTTAAGCAAATAAGCAAAAGCAATTAACGAGTGCCAATAACCCCCCACAACTCAGTAAATTGCAACAATGACAGAGAGCTGACACAAGGCAGAGAGATCATACCTCCCATATCAGCAGCCATTAGAATCCCATCCTTGTACTTGATCGCGATCACTGAGGTCCCAGTAACATATGGGTATCTGAAGAAAAAAAGTTCCACATAAACCCTAGGGATCAGAACAAGTCCCTGAATTTCGGAGAATCGAGAACTCGACCCAGAACGAGAGAGGCAGATATTTTACAGGGTTCTTTGCGAATCAGCATCAGGGTTTGTCACCGAATTCCCGTTCTGCGTTGGCATCGTGAACTGTTCCAAAAATTCCACGGAAATCGAGGTCAAACAATCGAAACCCAGAACAAATCAGAACCTAAACCAGCGGAGAGAGTGAAAATTTTTGGTCGATTCGACTTACTGTCATCGTGTCGACGAAATTGATCTGCTGTAGAGAGACGCTAAAACTCGAAGAAACCGAGAAAAGCTTATTCGACGTTCTGAATGTTTCCGTCTCTCTCAGTGATGCATTTCCCTTCGTTCAAGAAACAGTGTATCGGGTCGGGTCCTTTATTTTCTGGCTCAAACCCGACCCAAGACAAAGCCCAATATTGGTAACAAAAATACTTTTTCTTAAAAAAATAAAGAAGCATTATATTAATAGTTTTCAAAATTCAGATACAAGGAGTATACTGTATAGAATACAAAGAATAGAAATGAAATTAATTGTGTAGACAAAATTGCATTGGTCAGATACATATCCTCGTGTTCGCCATGAGCCTTTTCTTGTGGAAAATACAAAACCCTAGACATTCCAACCTCCAGTTCCTTGAACTTCATCCTTCCCTCTCTTCTGTATCACATCATTTGCAATTTTACAACACATACATATGCGTAATTATAGGTATATATATATATATATATAAATAACGACGATCAGATTATTATTATATCCTCATCCGCTTTAAAAAAACGTCGAAGAATATTCATATCAAGAAAACAAAAAAAATGATAGTTAAGACTTACCATGTTTGCCATGACCTTTTTCTGACGGACTCGGTGAAACTTTAATATCGGAGAATCGTTCTCCCACGGATTGGAACTTAGTTTTATTCGCTTCTGCATCATACCATTTTAAAATTTTTAAATACATGCATACATAGAGATATAGGATAATATATTATATATCTAAATAGGGATGATCAAATTATTATTATCTTTTCTTATCCTTTATATTACCTATAAGAATATTGACATCAAGAAAACGTAAAAATGATAACTAAGACTTACCGTGTTTGCCATGATCTTTTTCTGGCGGACTCGGTGAAACTCTAACATTGAGAAATCGTTCTCCCACGGATTGAAACTTTGTCTTATCCGCTTCTGCATCATACCATTTGAAAATTTTAAATAAATATATACAAAGAGATATAGGTATATATAAATAGGGATGATCAAATTATTATTATCTTTTCATATCTCTTATATTACCTATAAGAAGAAAACGCAAAAATGATAACTAAGACTTACCGTGTTTGCCGTAACCTTTTTCTGGCGGACTTGGTGAAACCCTAATATTGGGAAACCGTTCTCCCACGGATTGGAACTTTGTCTTATCCGCTTCTGCATCATACCATTTGAAAATTTTAAATAAATACATACAAAGAGATATAGGTATATATAAATAGGGATGATCAAATTATTATTATCTTTTCATATCTCTTATATTACCTATAAGAAGAAAACACAAAAATGATAACTAAGACTTACCGTGTTTGCCGTGACCTTTTTCTGGCGGGCTCGGTGAAACTCTAATATTGGAGAATTGTTCTCCTACAGATTGCAACTTAGTCTTATCCGCTTCTGCATCATAACATTTGAAATTTTACTATACATGTATACATAGAGATATATGTATATATATATATACATATGTAAATAGGGATGGTCAAATTATTATTATATCCTCATATCTTTTATATTATATCGATGAATATTAATATCAATAAAACATAACAATGATAACAGGAACTCTTACCATGTTTGCCATGACCTTTTTCTGGCGGACTCGGTGAAACCCTAATATTGGGAAACCGTTCTCCCACGGATTGGAACTTTGTCTTATCCGCTTCTGCATCATACCATTTGAAAATTTTAAATAAATACATACAAAGAGATATAGGTATATATAAATAGGGATGATCAAATTATTATTATCTTTTCATATCTCTTATATTACCTATAAGAAGAAAACGCAAAAATGATAACTAAGACTTACCGTGTTTGCCGTGACCTTTTTCTGGCGGACTCGGTGAAACTCTAATATTGGAGAATTGTTCTCCTACAGATTGCAACTTAGTCTTATCCGCTTCTGCATCATAACATTTCAAATTTTACTATACATGTATACATAGAGATATATGTATATATATATATACATATGTAAATAGGGATGGTCAAATTATTATTATATCCTCATATCTTTTATATTATATCGATGAATATTAATATCAATAAAACATAACAATGATAACAGGAACTCTTACCATGTTTGCCATGATCTTTTTCTGGCGGACTCGGTGAAACCCTAATATTGGGAAACCGTTCTCCCACGGATTGGAACTTTGTCTTATCCGCTTCTGCATCATACCATTTGAAAATTTTAAATAAATACATACAAAGAGATATAGGTATATATAAATAGGGATGATCAAATTATTATTATCTTTTCATATCTCTTATATTACCTATAAGAAGAAAACGCAAAAATGATAACTAAGACTTACCGTGTTTGCCGTGACCTTTTTCTGGCGGACTCGGTGAAACTCTAATATTGGAGAATTGTTCTCCTACAGATTGCAACTTAGTCTTATCCGCTTCTGCATCATAACATTTCAAATTTTACTATACATGTATACATAGAGATATATGTATATATATATATATACATATGTAAATAGGGATGGTCAAATTATTATTATATCCTCATATCTTTTATATTATATCGATGAATATTAATATCAATAAAACATAACAATGATAACAGGAACTCTTACCATGTTTGCCATGACCTTTTTCTGGCGGACTCGGTGAAACCCTAATATTGGGAAACCGTTCTCCCACGGATTGGAACTTTGTCTTATCCGCTTCTGCATCATACCATTTGAAAATTTTAAATAAATACATACAAAGAGATATAGGTATATATAAATAGGGATGATCAAATTATTATTATCTTTTCATATCTCTTATATTACCTATAAGAAGAAAACGCAAAAATGATAACTAAGACTTACCGTGTTTGCCGTGACCTTTTTCTGGCGGACTCGGTGAAACTCTAATATTGGAGAATTGTTCTCCTACAGATTGCAACTTAGTCTTATCCGCTTCTGCATCATAACATTTCAAATTTTACTATACATGTATACATAGAGATATATGTATATATATATATACATATGTAAATAGGGATGGTCAAATTATTATTATATCCTCATATCTTTTATATTATATCGATGAATATTAATATCAATAAAACATAACAATGATAACAGGAACTCTTACCATGTTTGTCATGACCTTTTTCTGGCGGACTCGGTGAAACCCTAATATTGGGAAACCGTTCTCCCACGGATTGGAACTTTGTCTTATCCGCTTCTGCATCATACCATTTGAAAATTTTAAATAAATACATACAAAGAGATATAGGTATATATAAATAGGGATGATCAAATTATTATTATCTTTTCATATCTCTTATATTACCTATAAGAAGAAAACGCAAAAATGATAACTAAGACTTACCGTGTTTGCCGTGACCTTTTTCTGGCGGACTCGGTGAAACTCTAATATTGGAGAATTGTTCTCCTACTGATTGCAACTTAGTCTTATCCGCTTCTGCATCATAACATTTGAAATTTTACAATACATGTATACATAGAGATATATGTATATATATATACATATGTAAATAGGGATGGTCAAATTATTATTATATCCTCATATCTTTTATATTATATCGATGAATATTAATATCAATAAAACATAACAACGATAACTGGAACTCTTACCATGTTTGTCATGACCTTTTTCTGGCGGACTCGGTGAAACCCTAACATTGGGAAATCGTTCTCCCACGGATTGGAACTTTGTCTTATCCGCTTCTGCATCATACCATTTGAAAATTTTAAATAAATACATACTAAGAGATATAGGTATATATAAATAGAGATGCTCAAATTATTATTATCTTTTCATATCTCTTATATTACCTATAAGAATATTGATATCAAAGGAAACGCAAAAATGATAACTAAGACTTACCGTGTTTGCCATGACCTTTTTCTGGTGGACTCGGTGAAACTCTAACATTGGAGAATTGTTCTCCCACAGATTGCAACTTAGTCTTGTCCGCTTCTGCATCATAACATTGCAAATTTTACAATACATACATACATACACGTAGGGGTGGGCGTTTTAACCCGTAACCCGGGGGTTTGGAGGTACCCGGCTTAACAAGTACACGAATAAAGGGTACCCGAATATTAACGATGATTAGATCGAATATTAATAAGACTAAGTTTTCGACCCCCGAGTCCGAGTGGGGGTTTAATTATTTTACAAAGGGTACCGGGGGTACCCGGTATATTTGTTAAAAATCTAAAATATACTTTATATCTATAATATTTTTGTCTAAATTATTCTTATTATTTATTAAAATACTTTTATTTTAGTTCAATCTTTTTATGTTCTAAACCTTTCTATACAAAAATTTCATCATTTCAAATCTCATTCTATGTAATCGAATCAACCATTCATCTCTCTCTCAAAATTTTACTCATCTCTCTTCATCGTGAATTTTTCTCTTTATACTTTGACATCTCTCATTTGTATTTTCTATATCTATCATTTTATAATTCAAAATTTTATAAATCGTATGGGTCCAGGTACCCGTGAGTACAAGACCGAGAATCTCATTAAACCCGAGCTATAAGTACCCGGATTTTATGAAGCTAAGACTGAGATAATATTTTTGTAAAACCCGTGGTAATGAAGACGAGACAAGGTTTTCTAAAAATTGGGGGTACCCGACCCGTGCCCACCCCTACATACACGGAGATATATGCGTATACACATATGTAAATAGGGATGATCAAATTATTATTATATCCTCAAATCCTTTATATTATTTCGACGAATATTGATGTAAAAAAAACATAACAATGATAACTATTAACTAGGACTTACTGTGTTTGCCATGACTTTTTTCTGGCGGACTCGGTGAAACCCTAACATCGGGAAATTGTTCTCCCACGGATTGGAACTTAGTCTTATCCGCTTCTGCATCATACCATTTGAAAATTTTAAATACATGCATACACAAAGATATATGTATATATATATATATAAATAGAGATGATCAAATTATTATTCTCTCTTTCTATACCTTATATTACCTATACGAATATTGATATCAAGGTAACATAAAAATGATAACTAGGACTTACCGTGTTTGCCATGACCTTTTTCAGGCGGACTCGGTGAAACTCTAACATTGGAAAATCGTTCTCCCACAGATTGCAACTTAGTCTTATTTGCTTCTGCACCATAACATTGTAAATTTTACAATATATACATACACGAAGATATATGCATATATACATATGTAAATAGGGATGATCAAATTATTATTATATCATCATATCCTTTATATTATATCGATGAATATTGATATAAAAAAATATAAAAATGATAACTAGGAATTACCGTGTTTGCCGTGACCTTTTTCTGGCGGATTCGGTGAAACCCTAATATTGGGGAATCGTTCTCCCACATATTGCAATTTAGTCTTTTCCACTTCTACATCATACCATTTTAAATTTTACATTACATACATATACGCAAATATAGATTTAAAAATATAGACATATATAAGTATGGATAATCGAATTATTATTATCTTATCATATCCTTTATATTATTTTTAAAAATATTGATATCAAGAAAACGTAAACGTGATGATTAGGAATTACCGTGTTTGCCATGGCCTTTTTCTGGCGGACTCGGTGAAACCCTAACATCGGGGAATCGTTTTTCCATAGATTGAAACTTCATTTTATCCGCTTCTGCATCATATAATTTGAATACAATATACGTAGATATAGGTTTCTAAATATTTACATATATAAGTATGAATTATCAAATTATTATTATTATCTTATCATATCCTTTATATTATTTTAAAATATATTGATATCAAGGAAATGTAAATATGATGACTAGGAATTACCATGTTTGTCATGACCTTTTTCTGGAGGACTCGGTGAAACCCTAATATTGGAGAATCGTTCTCCCACAGATTGAAACTTCATCTTATCCGCGTCTACATCATACCATTTTAATAAATATATATATATATATATATATATATATATTCATACATGCAGATATGTGTTAATAAATGTATATATATACATTTTGTTGCGTCCTATAATTTATTTCAATAAAAAATCAATAAAAATCTGGATCGATTTGAGCGTACGAAACCGATGTAGAACATGTTGGGAATTTTTATTTTATTTTTATCATGAATGCATGGGTGGACCAAAATTTCGGGTTTGTATTGGGTACACATACATTCTGTTCGTGATGCATGTAGCATGTTTACACATAATTCTCCAAATCATAGAATCTTAGTACTTTTAACAAAAAAAAAAAAAAGAATCTAAGTAAAATTAAGGTTAAAAATCTTAAAAATGCCGAATAAATTATATGGAAGACTTACTGAGTTTGGGGTGGTGGGTTCGGCCGGCACAGGTTGTAGCCACATGAACACACAGAACGACAACAAGGAGCAGAATCGTCAAAGGGATTAACGGCCTTTCCGCCATTTTTTTAGTTTTTTTAATTATATTTACCGTTAATCCCTTTACGATTTGCCCTACTTCAGGTCTTAAGCGTACACGTATATATATATATAGAGGTACAACAAAAGCCAGATGCCATATGTAGATATGGCTATTTATGTGTATGACATTGCCATTTTTTTCGCTGCATCGTTCGATTTATAGCAAAACTTATTTGGTATCTTTATATTTTCGATTTGGTGTCTGGCGGACAATTTTTCTTTCGTTACACCATAGTATTTGTGAAATGTTTATGTACAATATATTTTTTTTGATCTATATATCATTCCCCCAATTTATTAATTTGAAACCGATTTGGTTCAATGCAATTTTAATTTTTAAAAATCAGTGCAGATAACATGACATATAATATGGATGATGATTTAGATTTTTTACCGTCAAATTATCGGTTTTTTTGCCAGATTCCGTTACATGATTAATGTTGTCATTTTTATTTGAAAAAAAAATATTAAAAGTTCAGATTTTATATATGATTTTTAAAAAAGTTAATATATTTGTTTGAAGTTTATACAAATAAAAGTATTCAATCAATATTTATCACATTAAACCAAATTGATGATTCGATATTCAATTCTACTAATATGGGTGGTCAATATAGTCAATAATCCAATATCTGAATTGAATAAACCATAATTATAATCGAGTCGAATTTGATATAAAAATAATAGTTATAAGTTTTTAAAATTCTAGTCGAACCAAAACGTTAAGGAAAAATAATCAGAAAACTGATTTTTTTTAAAAAGAATATTATTGCCAACAAAAACAACATAAACCAAAATAAAAACAAACCAAATTTGATATAATTTTCTAATCGAAATAACCAAATATTGAAAAGCTGGTAAATGAGATATTTTTCGAAATTATTTTCATTATTAAATTTAATTCAGATAGAGTAGCTTCAAATCTAATCTTCCGCAAACCAACCTCGGAATCATCAACATAAATAAGGTTGTCGGCCCAATTTTTATTTATTTATTTATTTTTTGTATTAATTGATCCTTTCAGAATTTTTTAGATGAACAACTTCGACGAATCCAACGGCTGCAATTGCATCCATTTCAACCAACCAATCTGTTATTTTTAATCAAAATACCCTCGAAATCAATCAGTATTTACTGACTCTACCTGACACCCACGAGTGGCGCCACGTGTACGCTCGTGCCTTTCGTTGGCCTCAGTTCTATTCGTAGACGAGGCCAATCCCGTAATTTCACGTCATCTCCAAGACAAGTAATGCTGGTGTGTATTCCATTTATTTGTCCACGTGGGTACACGTGGCAAGCCTTGTCAGCATGCAGCTCACTAGCACTTAGCAGCACCTCTCCCGGTATATATGATATATCTCTCGGCTTTTCCACAGCGTCAGTGGCTTGAGTCTCGGGGAAAAGCTCCGATCTGAGTTTAGCAATGGCGAAATTAAACCCTAGAATCGTTTCTCTGGTTCTTCTAAGTATCCTCGTCGCGATCGCCTCCGCTGAAGTTTTCTTTGAGGAGCGCTTCGATGGTATATATTTACTTCTCTCTATCTCTCTCTCTCTGTTGATGGGCTTTTCTTTTTGTTTCTCGGAGTACGATTGCTACATCGAATCGCTTTAGACGAGACGATGCTAGAAATGATGATCCATGTTCGATTGTGCGCCGATTTCCTGGTTTTTGGTCGGAGAAAAGTGATCGAAATGCTTGTTTGTGCGAAACGAGGATGATTGCATAGCAGATCTATGAATTTGTGGTTTCGGTTTTGCGTTAGTGTTCTCGGATGTGAAAATTCTGATGATTTTTGAGGAAATGGCCGACAATTTCTGTTGAGTATTGTGTATATGGGTTTATGGAGCTATAGATTTCGATCGATAATCAAGAATTCCGAGATGATCGTTTTCGTGCGATTGGTGTTTCGTGATCAGGAGGTTGGTATTATGTCTGATAATCTGAACTGTGTGAATGCTTGTTTTCTATGAATGGCGCTGATTTGTTCGCTCTATTTATTTTTTTTTTGGCATTAACTTCTTGGTGGGACTTAACTTTACTGATATATGTTTTCCACAAAAGGCTTTCCCTCATCTAACGTCTGTTCTCGATTTCATTTACTGTGTCTATTTCTGAAGATGGATGGGGGAACAGATGGGTTAAATCTGAATGGAAGAAAGATGACAACACTGCCGGGGAGTGGAACCACACCGCTGGCAAATGGTTCGGTGACGCTAACGACAAAGGTGCCTTTCTGGGCTAAAATTGTTCATTGACTTGCGCCTATACTTTCTATCGCCTTGTTAATGATTTGTTTTAACTTATGTTGTGTTTCAGGTATCCAGACTAGCGAGGACCACAGATTCTATGCCATTTCGGCGGAGTTCCCTGAATTCAGCAACAAGGACAAGACCCTAGTCTTCCAATTCTCTGTCAAGCACGAGCAGAAACTTGACTGTGGTGGTGGATACCTGAAGCTGCTCAGTGGTGATATTGACCAGAAGAAATTTGGTGGAGACAGTCCATACAGGTGTGTTTTGTATTTCAGTTTTCTCTTTCTGTAACCATCTCTATGTCAACATCCATGTTAAACCTGTTCCTAATCGGCGTTTGATCTGCAGCATCATGTTTGGTCCCGACATCTGTGGCTACAGCACAAAGAAAGTGCACGCAATCCTCACCTACAACGAAACGAACCACCTTATCAAGAAGGAGGTCCCATGCGAGACTGACCAGCTCACTCATGTGTACACATTCATCCTCCGCCCAGATGTTACTTACAGCATTCTCATTGACAATGTGGAGAAACAAACTGGCAGCCTGTACTCTGACTGGGATCTTCTCCCATCAAAGAAAATCAAAGACCCTGAAGCCAAAAAGGTAATTTGCTAATGTACTGTTTAGTTGCATTATCTATCTGTTCTGTCTTGTAGTATTTGTTGCCAGTAACCACAAATAACCCTCTCATGGGCCAAACTATGGAATATCACCTTTAGATCAAACATCCGCCGCATTCACTGAATATGACTAAATGTATGCTAACATCTATTATACCGTTGACTCTCGTCTTGCAGCCTGAGGACTGGGATGACAAAGAGTACATTCCTGATCCAGAAGACAAGAAACCAGAGGGATATGATGACATCCCGAAGGAGATCCCAGACCCCGATGCCAATAAGGTTAGATCCCGAGAACTATATAAATCTTTTGCTGGTCCAACTTGGCTGATATTTTTCCATGTACTTTCTGTTAGCCTGATGACTGGGATGATGAAGAGGATGGTGAATGGACCGCCCCGACCCTTCCCAACCCTGAGTACAAGGGTGAATGGAAACCCAAGGTTTGTTTTATTTGCTATAAGAAAGTATATCAGCCATTGTAGTAGTTGACTCTATTCTACTCCTTACGAGTCTCATATCGCTTCGCTCCACAGGAAATCAAGAACCCCGACTACAAAGGCAAGTGGAAGTCTCCGATGATTGACAACCCTGGTAGTTTTCTCACCATACTTCCTTTATTTGTCTACTTTCACATTGTTATTATGGATGGTCGTTTGTCCAGAATCATGTATCCTGGATTTAACACATAGATCATTAATACAAATCTTATAAAAAATACACACACACACACAAATCATTAAGAGGTATTGACATCAGGGCAAAACATATCATGACATCATGATTGTTTGATGAACTCTGGGATTAAGTACTCCCAATCTGATGTGTTTACCAAGAAATCTTCACATGAGATTTCTTCAAAATATAGGCAGAGAGATGTACTTACCATGATTAAGTTATATAACTTTGAAAAACTTGATTTATTTAGATAGAAAACAGATGTATAATAATTTCATAAATTTGATATACATTTCATGTGCATAAGTAGATGGGAAGTTAGTTACCCATGGACTGATATCCAACATACATTTACGCCTAACTTCAACAATCTCATGCAGATTTCAAGGATGACCCAGATCTCTATGTCTACCCGAAATTGAAGTACGTCGGGATCGAGTTGTGGCAGGTAATGATATTTTTCCTTCCACCGACTAATCGTATCACCTTCAATCATGGGCTTGACTTCTCTTTTTTGGTCAGGTAAAATCTGGATCATTGTTCGACAACGTCTTGGTTTGTGATGACCCAGAGTACGCCAAGAAGTTTGCTGAGGAGACATGGGGCAAGCACAAAGACGTAAGATACATACATATATCCCCACTCTTTCTGTCTGCAATACCCATCTCCAGTACTAAAATTTTCTTATGATTTATTGACCGGATCCAACGCAAACCTCGTTTTAACAGGCTGAGAAGGCAGCTTTTGATGAGGCTGAGAAGACGAGGGAAGAAGAGGTAACTAACTACATATCCTTTCCACCTCATAATTTTCTTTGAAATTATATGTGAACGCAGGAATCACTTGCAACTTGTTCGAATCAAAATCAAACCGATTTTTCTGGATATTTAGAGCATATTCATTCAGTAGGGGTAGTCATTTTGGATTTCAGGCTTGGGTTTTTGAATTTTAGTAAAACTAGAACTATTCGATTTGTATATTTGATTTGGATCGGTTTCGATTTTTATTGATAAAAATGTTAACTTTCCAAATGAATGATTGGTTTTTCCGGTCTCTTTATTCGGTTCTGTTTAGATTTTTCGGCTTAGTAAAATTATATCCGATCTGTTTTTATGTTAGACACAGTTAAAGGTTTATGAAGTTCTGCATCTTGTAATCAAATTACACCAATGAGAACATGTTTTTTTGTTTGTTTGTGTTATTTCCTAAACCAGGAATCAAAGGATGATCCAGTTGAGTCCGATGTAAGCCCTTCCTCCATCCTCTCTCTCTCTCTCTCTATATATATATATATATATATGGATAATTGTTTCATTGTTTGTTTTATGCACAAAGGCTGAGGAAGAAGGAGGAGACGATGAGGATGAGAATGGAGAAGACTCCGACAACGAATCTAAGACGGAGGAGACCAAAGCAGAAGAAGAGGAGACAACCTCCGACAAGGAGGAAGCTGCCGCCTCTCATGTATGTCTTTTCTTAAACTCCCCACCCCCCAATCTTTTTTCTGATCACACAAATACAAAAAGTATATCCTTACACTACGGCTGATCTCCGTTTCTAATTCTAAACCAAAATTGCTGTCTGGAAAACGTATTCCACGTTGTATGTACATATGGCATTCTGGGTTTAGGGTCCAAGATTTTTCCTTTCCATTCAGAGTTTTTTTTTATTGAATTAGATTCGTTTTTTTATTGATAAACATACTAAGTTTTTAGAGATCTTTTTGAATTTTTATTTAATTTTACATCCCATTCAATTCGGTTATTTTATTTTTAAAAAAATCATTTTTTGGGTTTTATAAGTATAATGAATTGTTTTTAGAGGCAAAGTCTGAATGGTTTGGGTTGTTATGGTGTGATTGTGGTGTGTGCAGGACGAGCTCTAAGCATTTTAGATTGGAAGAAGGAAGATTCACGAGGACCCAAATTTTTTTCTTTTTCCTTTTTTTTTTTATTAAATGGATTTTGTTTATAGGAGAAACAAATGTGTGGTGGATTAGTAGAAAACCCAATCTTTGTTTTAGACAAATCATGTCGTCTAATACAAGTTTTTATCTCCTCTACGTATGCCAAATTTGAACTTTGGATTCAACCAAAAAAAAAAAAATTTGAACTTTGGAAGACAAATAATAGAGGCTCCTCGACCCAATTCCATCCCACCGGAAATTACGCAAATCAATCTTTTCACTTATGTTCATCGCGTCGAATACACGCGCTCGAAATACGGAAAAATTGTAATCGAATATCCTGAAAGAGGTCCCAGACTAATTTGTCGTGTGAGACAAGTTGGATTTTTGCAATAAAATGAAAATAATTTTTGATATTTTCATTATATATATATATATATATATATTGCTAAAAACCCTAAATTATTATTTATTCAGATAGATCTTCCAGATAATGGTCATGAAATTGTCCACTGCCTGCTACTAAAATGCAACGTCAATGATGATTAATCGAATATATGCAGATATACTATATAATTATGTACGAGTAATCTTGTTATATTTTTCAATTTTTGATTGAGTTATAATAAACTAATATTTTCAAACAACTCAAGCTTATTGCAACTTTTGGACCAATGTTGACAAATGAGATCTTGATTAAGGTAATTTCTTTATAATAATTTTATTTTACCACGGGCCAATATCATTCCAATTTCTCATTTAAAAAACGTGTGTGTGTGGTGTAGTATTGTCTTGGTTGTTTTTGTATATATAAATAATACAAGTTTCCTATATTAATACAATAAACATTAACGCAAATTCATGGGATATTCTTATGTCAATTAACAGAATGGTTGCAGAATTACACTGTTCGTAAATTTGCCGTGATTTGTTGATTGATAAATAATAGATTAACCAGAGGGAGATCAACAACTATATTAGTGATAAATGTAATAAATATTAATATTCTAGTTTAGAATTAAGAATGTTGGGGATGAAGTTGTACATTATATGATCAGGTGTGTGTGTCACGCCCACATGAGTGCCTCGAAAGCAAAATTTTGCAATGATCTTGTCTGATCGTTTCCTTTTACAGCCTGCCACGTGTCGCAATATCAAAATTTTGAAATTAGGCACTGAACAATGTTTAAAAAAAGAAAAACTCGAGCTACCGTACAGGTATCATTTAATGGGCCTTCACGGGCTTCTTCTCCCATGATCCAACTTCCAGTGAAAGCCTGTAAATAATACTCGACTCCTATTGGTCATTACACATTGACTCGGATAACAATCACGCACCTGATTGAAACCGTTTGATTCGTTGATGTCTATTCACGTGGATCGGTATCTAAATCTTCTTATGTCCGTCGATTAAAAACCATCTAACGGTTTAAAAAGGACTCTCTAAAATCATTTTTAAAAAAACGTAAAATATTTTCCCGCTTCTCGTTACTCTTTTATATAAATACCCTCTCTGATCTTACCAATTTCGCAATCAAATCCCCGCTCTCTTATTTTCATTCCCTTCCCGAGAAAACTCCTGTGATCTTCCATATCGTTTCTCCTCTTTCGCAATGGCGCGTACCAAGCAGACCGCGAGGAAGTCCACCGGAGGAAAAGCTCCGAGGAAGCAACTGGCGACGAAGGCAGCGAGAAAATCGGCTCCGGCGACCGGAGGAGTGAAGAAGCCGCACAGATTCAGGCCGGGGACGGTGGCGTTGAGGGAGATCAGGAAATACCAGAAGAGCACAGAGCTTCTGATCCGAAAACTGCCGTTTCAGAGATTGGTGAGAGAGATCGCGCAGGACTTCAAGACAGATCTGCGTTTTCAGAGCAGCGCAGTGGCAGCTCTCCAGGAAGCGGCCGAGGCGTACCTCGTCGGATTATTTGAAGACACGAATCTGTGCGCGATTCACGCGAAGAGGGTGACGATAATGCCGAAGGATATTCAACTCGCTAGGAGAATCAGAGGTGAACGTGCGTAGGGAAAAGATTTAGCGCCATTAGAACCCTAAATCGAAAGATAATTTGTAGGCGTGTAATCTCTGATGTATGGAATCTCCTTGTTAATCGTATTCTGAACATGAATGTTTCGATTATTACTGTTTAAATGTACGTCGAATCATCCGCTCCGTTACACAACACCCAAAACTACGAATATCATAATATTGCGATATTTCATTTCTTATGCATACGCCTTTTAAACTAATACAAATACATTATATAAAAATAAAATAAAATGTGTAAACAATTAATTTCCAAAGTCCACTACAGAACCGCCTATTTTTAAAAATTATTCCATAAAATATTTTCGAGATTAATCGAATAATTACAGGGATGTTAAAGTCCGAGCGGATATATATAGTCGGTTACCCCCTATTTACGATTCTCAATTGGAATATATATATATATATATATCATGCTAACTAGCATGGCGGTCCAATTATTCCTAAAGAAAATTTAAACCACTCTTTTAATAATGACTGCGTGTTTAATTAAAACTAGATTGACTTAACGAAAAATTATAAAGAAATCCTACAAATTTGAAATAAGTACAATTTAGTAAAATTAATTAAAAAAATTTAATATCATTATAAAATCAAATGTATTCGGACATATCTGATTTATGGAAATGAAAAATTTCTGTATATAGATACCAGCTTATTCGAATACCTAAAGTAAATACTATAAAGTATCAAATCGAAGCTACATTTGAATTTATTTATATGAATTATATTTTTTTTTAAAAGAATGATGTAAATTATGGAAAACATCGTGATTTAAGGAGTTTTGCTACAATTTGGATATTGACGCGTAGGGAGAATAATATAATCTACATAAACAGCTTTCTTTCATTCTTGACAGCTGTTCTCTGGGCCCCATTTCTCATGAGTGGCTATTACCATACAATGTGGGTCCCACTTCCACATGGTCACGTCAGCACATGTTTTCCCCCTTTTTTTTTTTTAATTATAAAAACTTTTAAACAACCCAATATTTATAGAAGAAAATACACCTTTAAGGGCTTTCTTTCTTTTCACAATTTATATATTGTGCAAGTCCATTTCACAATAATAAACTATAAGCAATGCAAAAGAGAAGACTGTTTACGAGCAACAAAGAAGTAAAATATATTACGAATATGGACATCCGATTATTATTTTCAGAAGTAGATAGAAAATTTTTATTTCATTTTTGTAATATATATATTTTTTCAATATAAATTTTCTTTTTTACTTACCTTTTTTTTTGTATATATATTTCCACGAAAATATTTTTTTATCATGAGCAAGCGAAATCTGTAATCTCACGAAAATTTGTAACAAAATCTTAAATTTATTTGTAATATATTGTTTTTGGTAATTACGGCTATTTTTTTTTGTAGACTTGGCAAATAGATCGTTCCACTTGCAAAAATTTTATGAACAGGCGTCATGCGTACAAGGGTGTTTTCGTCTTTTACAAAAAATCTTTTTTTAATAAATCCCTCCCTTTTCTCTCTCTCTCTCACTCTCTTCTCTCTCTCTCTCTCTCTCTCTCTCTCTCGTACCCGCGTCCCTTCTCTCTCTAGATTTCTCTTCCAGTCGAAATCACAATCTCTGCAACCTCACTTACTCTATATCGATAATCTGGTCACGTGCTTTCGCTGTGGTCTTTTTCAGTTTGATCTCCGGATACCGGCCGGAAAATGCTTCCGGAAGTTCCGGCGAGTTCGACTGAGTCGTCAGTGCGCTATCTTCTCCTACTGGGATCTAGTGTTTGATATTTTGCTACGATTTCTTCTCGGTGAGTTTCTAGGGTTCTTACTGGCCATTGCCAAGAATCTCAATGGAGTTTTGTCCTCTGATGTTGTTGTTGACTCGATTCCTGTGTTTCGCTTTTTGTTGCATCTGAAATGAAACCTAGTTCGGTGGAGATTTAAGTTAGTCTCAGTAGATTAGGGTTTTCTTCAGCATTTCCTTAAGATTTTCTGTTTGGTTGGTTTGATTTACAAAAATGAATTTACTTGTCTAAGACTTATAAACTGGTGCGGATTTTTGGGAATTTGATATAAAATGGACACCAGGTGCTTGCGTGTGGGTGTGACTGGATAGATCTTAGTAGGTGACCAAATTTATCTCTTTTATTTTTTTCTGGGAATCATGTGTTTGCAATTGTTTGTTTTCGGCTTATCAGAATTTGTCTAGATGATAAGCATCTAAATCTTCGCATCTCTTGGTGGAGTAAACCGTAATGACAATGTTGTTCTCCTGAAAAATGGATTCATATAGTTATTAGCATCTGTCCGACTTGTATCGGCTCCTCTAAAGAATCTCTGTGTAAACAAGAGCTTTTCATAGTGTGGAGAAAGGCGTGACATATCTTTATTGGGAATGGTAGGATATCCTTTACCATTGGGTTCAGCAAATGTTGAAGCCTATACTAAGATGAGCCTCCCTAAAGCATCAAAGCCAAAACCTCCACTTGTTCCTCTCGCTGCCCTGATTGGTAGGGAGCTTAGGGGCGAGAAAGACGAGAAACCTTTTATCAAGTATTGTCAGGCTGCTCTCGCTAAGAAAGGAGAGGACTACTTTCTGATCAAACCTGATTGCCAGAGGATTCCTGGTGATCCCTCGACATCGTTTTCAGTTTTCGCGGTAATTAGTTTTGTTGGGATCTCGTATTCATTGGAGTTATTCATGTCTGGCTTCTTCTTTGTAGCCAGGAATGGCATTTCCGGACGTTCCATTAATTATGTCATCCACAAAGATTCTTACTACGCGTTTTGTTGGCAGATTTTTGACGGGCATAATGGTATTTCTGCTGCCATATTTGCTAAGGAACATCTGCTGGATAATGTCTTGAGTGCGATCCCTCAAGGTGTGTCTCGGGATGAGTGGCTTAAAGCTCTTCCCCGGGCTCTGGTTGCAGGCTTTGTTAAAACCGACATAGAATTTCAGCAGAAAGGTAATATGCTCTTTACTGCAAGGCCTCGTTGTTTTTGGTGTTTTTGCTCAAGCAAGTTCTTATCGTTATGATTCAATGTGCTTACAGGGGAAACTTCTGGAACAACAGTAACATTTGTTCTGATTGATGGTTGGACTATAACTGTTGCCTCGGTTGGAGACTCTCGATGCATATTGGACACCCAAGGTGGTGTGGTTTCTCTACTGACCGTTGATCACAGGTTAGAGGAGAATGTCGAAGAGAGAGATCGTGTTACTGCAAGTGGTGGTGAGGTCGGGAGGCTCAATGTCTTTGGTGGAAATGGGGTATGATCATGTCCTCGATATTAAATCCATGTTTCACCTTATTCCTTTATGGTGGGTGTGGGTCTGTGCTGGGCCATATAGGTGTTGGATTTGGGATTATCTTAATTTCATGTGCTTTCCTCGTGGTGACTCAAAGGTTGGTCCACTTCGTTGCTGGCCTGGTGGCTTGTGTCTTTCAAGATCCATTGGTGATACTGATGTGGGAGAATTCATTGTTCCAATACCGCATGTTAAGCAAGTGAAAGTAAGTACATGTACCATCGTCAATATCATCAATACTTGCGCAAGTTACTGAACGAGGTTGCATCTCCATACCCATCTCAGATTTCAGATGCTGGAGGGAGACTCATTATTGCTTCAGATGGTATCTGGGATGCACTATCTTCTGATATGGCAGCCAAATCTTGTCGTGGTTTACCCACTGAGCTTGCCGCTAAACTTGTCGTTAAGGTTGTTTACAAACTTCGGTAATTTGTAAATAGTATATAAGGTCCTCTGTTCTAGAAATCTCTCCCATTCATATTCTTTAATGCCAGTGCTTGCACCTACTTTATTCAGGAAGCGTTACGGACAAGAGGATTGAAGGATGATACAACCTGTCTGGTTGTGGATCTCGTTCCTTCCGATAATCTTGTCTTGCCACCAACACTAACACCTAGGAAGAAGCAGAGTGCATTCAGCTCATTCCTCTTCGGCAAGAAACCTAAGAATGTCAATAACAAAACTGGAAACAAGCTCTCTGCTGTTGGAGTGGTAGAAGAATTGTTCGAAGAAGGTTCTGCCGTACTTGCAGAAAGGTACCAACTTATCAGAAATGATCATTTCCAAACTAACTAACTTTAAGCCCCTATATTGAAATGCATTTGTATACCCCATTATGCAACCGAGAATTGTTGGTATTAGATTACCAGCCTTTTGCGGGTGGTTTGAAATTCCAGGTTGGGCAAGGATATTCCCTCGAATACAGACACCGGACTCTTAAAGTGTGCAGTTTGTCAAGCAGATGAGTCTCCTGCAGAAGGATTATCAATCGATGGAGGAGGGGCTCTCCTCTTGTCAGCTTCAAAGCGATGGGAAGGGCCGTTCCTTTGCACAAACTGCAAGAAGAAGAAAGATGCCATGGAAGGCAAAAGACCCCAAGTCAAGCTTCGATGAACCACCTGACCCGAAACCAAGATCGGGATAAGAATCATAGTAAATTTGCCCGTTTCTTATTTCATCTGATCTCTGGATTCTTCCAAGGATTCGGCGATTGGAACAGTAGTAGCAGTAATAGAGTGGGGGGGGGGGGGGGG